TATGCCAATCGACTCCTTTCAACGAGCTGAGTCTGATTCCGGCTTAAATCTAATAATTGGACCAGCCGGTATGCCATAATAGCTCTCATAAGTGTGGGCCAAATATGGCAATCAAGGTAACATGTGCCATAAATTTGAACTTCCTTGCCAGTGGGCGGCCTCAGAAGGAGGTCCGAAGTCTTTGAAAGCCTAGATGCAGCTCCATGCAAGGGTTTACAGGTCCCCAAATGCTCCGGGCGTGACCTGGGAGGTCCGGTGACCGTGTAGAATGTCGTTGAAATGGCCCAAAATTTTGGCCATATCAAAAAGTCGTGGGAAAAATAAGGGGACCTCATTTTTGGACGTTTCCAGCCTCCCTGAGTCCAAATCTGAAGTCGGTTTCCCGCCAAAAAATCTCGTTCGGTCAGAAATCAATTTGTTGCCTTTGGTTGTCCGGGACTGTATGTACTTTCAGCCGGCAACTCCCGGCCCGAAGCATTTGGTTCCGCATTTCGGACTTTATCTGCGAATCCTACCTGACACTTCGCTGATGCCCGCTTCGCAGACACGCACCGTTCTATTACTAGAATCTGTTCTGATTCATGATGCACCGCTGTCTCGAGAGCGTCGCTCGCGCAAGACACCATGCCGTTCTGGAGTAAAGAGTCGTGGAACGCGAGCGGGAAGGTAACGGGGACCGTGCTGGTGCCGAATGCGCTCTGGCTGAACTAACATTACTCTATAGCATTGCTACGTGACGGGGGGCAGCTCGGGGCTCGGTCTCGCCCTAGCGACTACCTTAGCGGCCCGAGGTGCCCATGTCTCTATAGTGGCCCGGGGGCAACAGAGGCTCGACGATGCTATGAAACAGATCGAGGTGCGTCCTAAGCGCGTTGTTCGCTTGGATATTTGAGACTGAGCTAGCGTTACCAGGCAAAACGCCAGAGCCCAGACCAGATATTCCGCTCGTTCTCAGCAGACTTGCGCGGGGCCGCCGGGGCCAACGCAGCGCTGGACGCGATCACTGAGGTGCACGACGGGCGGACGCCCGACGCGATCTTCCTCTGCGCTGGCGTCGCTACTCCGCGGTTCTTCGTAGAGTCGACCGAGCAGGACCTTGCTTCTGGCATGGATCTCGGCTACTGGACAGAGGCATGGACAGCCTGGGTACGTGCTGTCTCATCGCATGGCGAAACCAGTGCCAACTCGCCTCGCAGGCTGTCACCAAGCGAATGGTGGAACAGGGCCGGAAAGGCAAGATCGTGTTCGTCGCGTCAACCCTCGGGTACATGTCATTCGTCGGCTGGTCCTCCTACTCGCCGGCTCGGCACGCCGTGCGTGGTACGTACACCTCCTTCGTCCCTCACAGGTTCATAGAGTCGACTCATCACCCTCAACCGGATCAGGCCTCGCCGACACCCTGCGCAGCGAGCTCCTGCTCTACGACATCGACGTGCACCTCTTCTGCCCGAACACGATGCACACTCCCGGCTACGTCGAGGAGAACAGAACAAAACCCCAGATCACCAGCCTCATCGAGGAGGGGGACTCGCCGGTCAGCCCTGAGCAGGCGGCGACGGCGCTCTTGAAAGGCATATAACCAAATCTACTTGCATACCATACTCCGCTCTGATTCGAAGTTATTCCGTTCTTCGCACGCACACACACACACACACACACATGCAATGTACAATTGACAGGCGTCGCCGACGGACACACGCACATCTCAGGGGACATGGTCACGGAGCTGTTCCGCGCGGCGACGCGCGGATCGGCGCCGTACCACAATTTCGTGTACGACTGCATCTTGGACACGGCTGCTTTTGTACGTTGTCATTCTTATCCTGGCCTGGGACTGGGACGGGGACTGCGCGTTGCTAAACGGGACTCGACGCAGATCGCGACGCCCATCTGGCGTTCGATGACGGACTCCAGGGTCAGGGCGCACAAGCCCGAGCATGCGCGGTACCTGAGGGAACGCGGGCTACAAAAATAGCCTGGACTCCTTGTTCTCGTTTTTGGGTTGGTGTTCTGTGCGGGATATGCTGTATCATGGATAAACATTCGGTGTGCGAGCCTGTGTCTATTTCTGTAAGGCACGCCGTGGGTCTCTGACGGGTATTCTCATCCAGGGCGACAGACAAGAGGGCATGTCGTGAGGCTCTGCCATACCTTGTCGATGGCCGTTCGAGACTTCGGTGGACCATGTCAGTCCTGGTCCTCGGAGAAATCTTGTAAGGCACTGTTCCGGAACTCCTCAATCCTAGTAGTACTATATCAGAATGTCGGCAAGATTCGTCGCTCAGCCGGAGCCGTCTGTCCAGTCGTCTATGGTGTTGCCTCCAACGGCGCCAGTGGACCGAGAGTGATAAGGTTAGGGTTTACCATAGATAGCACGAAACACCACGGCCATGTTCTCCTTTTAACGCGGCCCACAGAGCGATGAGGAGGCTGTATGCGTTTTTCTCCCGCTGCCACCTGTCTGATGGCTCTCTCGCGATAGAAATGACACTTCATGATGTCGAGGTCGATGAAGATTTCATTGAATGTCTGTATAATAAGGACGCTGACCAGGGGCGTCATGGGCGGTATGAAATCTTCGACGTCTTGACATAGCCATGGCAGTTCATGATTTTGGGACTTGGATCCATTAGTATTGGGCAGCGCTTCATCTCCGATTGTCCTCCGTACCCTTGAGCGCGCTCGGAGGTGATGATCAGAACGAATACAAGGTGAGTTTCCTGATATCGAGACCCTTTAATACTGTAGGAGCGAGAACATACTCGCGCCGTTTGCCGACTGGAGGCCCTCCGTTCATTGTGATCGTCCGCTGTGCTTTGCGCTGTATATGTTCTCCCCGAACGCTTTGTCTTGCACGCCATATCCTTGGCCCGTGCTTCCCCATTTCATCTGCTGCCTCGAGCCTTCGTAAATGCCCACCCGGTCTGGAATGTACCAAGACTCAGGCAAGTCATTGCCTTCTGGCATCTCATCTGTGCTGCTATCAAGCTACATGGATGCATTACAGCGCTCATGCAGTTAGCTGTTGTTATCACTGCTCATGACATGTAATGGTGCTGGTCACTGGTATAGAGATTTGTTGATGACTGCAAGAACTCATGTCTGGTTGAGAGAGAGAGATAGTAGCTGAACGTGCCTGCTTGAACAGTGTTCATGCATGCACTGTCCAGTGGCCGTCTCCGACTCTCTCGCCCAGCCCTGAGCAGTTTTATACCCTTCAAAAGTCTATGAGGTATGATATGGCGGGAAAAGCAAGAATGCTTCCTTGGTCCCGATATAAGAGCGATGTAACTGTCATGCATGTACTTGCTGGGGACGCACATCTTTGCTCTGCTATGTATCTACATTTCAGGGCAATCTGGGCTACAATATTCCGGCTGCCTCGCTATCGTAGCCCTCCAAGTTCGGGCTGAGTCTCACTTGCCATAACAATAACGATTCTCCCAAGATCCTCCGGAGACATTACTCTACAGTGAAATGGTACATATCGAAGTACAATGAAGTCCGTGGCTAGATCCGTATGTCATTCCGCCCTGCGATCGATACAACTGCTCAAATCGCTGAGCGGCACCGAGTCAGTCGCACCTCTCGACTCCATGTCTCCATTCTGCCCTTTGCGGCTCCAAAATCTCAAAGAGGGCAAAGACGTGCGCGCGGTGGTGATAACCTCTTTGCGTGCGGCCTTGCGGATGTTGAGAACGACTCTGCAGCATACGATGCTGTGCAGAACGCGGGTGAGCCTGGTATTATCACGTTTCATTCTCGCTTGTCAGCGATCGGGGTGGATGGAAGAGAAAATGGGGCACGCACGTATCGAGGAGGTCAAGATATTCAGGCTAATGAAATTATTGTTAATCGTCAATACGTAGGAAGAACCGAGAGGACACCTTACTGGTACTATGGTGAAATTGATGATATTCCCGATGGAGAGGACTGCAGGTCTGTGTGATCCACCATGTACATACAGCAATTTCTTTGAAGACGTACCAAGTAGACAGCAGAATGTAACTGCGCCTGGATCGGGGATTGGGAGGTCCGTTAAGGAGACACGAAGATATTTTAAACCCTGACCGAGACACGCACCGTCCCGATACAGCGTCTGGATGAGTGGTGTCCGAGATGCGCGCACTGTGAACATGGTCAGGCGACGTGCCGCGCGCAACAATAAGCAGAAATTCACAGTGGTTCAGAGCCTTGTACGCCGTCATGCTGACAATCACTGAAAGAGGTTCAAGCTGAAAGGGCAGAAGGAAAATGATAGTCGGACGTACCTAGTTCCCATACAACTAGGATGACAAAGTTCACGAACACGATAGAGCTCCCGCGAACCATGTTACACCCAGGAAGGGGTGGGGACTGCGGGCCGACTGGTCGGTTGTGGTTTAAGATGTATCCTGCTCAGGTCAAATGGAAGCCGACGTACATGCCAAGGACGAGAGAAAGAAGTACATGACCACGGAACCGAGTATACAATTCAACTGTATTCAGGAATCAGTCGCGGAATTCGTACTCGGACAGGGTCTTCGGACGTACCACCGACAAGGTCACCAAAGCAATGAAGACGCGGCGGCTATGACCGTACAGGGCAATCGTCCGGGCGACCAGAATATCTGAGTACGAACACAAACTAGTCCGTCATCTGACTACTGTCTTCACATACAGAAATCTTACTCTCTGCAACGACGATGCCAATAAAGGTCGACGCTGAGGGAATGGATATCCCAACTTTCAGTATCCCCGATAGCCGCTTTATGGGAGAGACCCCTACACGACGAGACTCGGTAGTTCAAAAGACACGTCTAAGACACTGCTATCAGCGAAGGCTGAATCAGGCGAAACACGGTACTCACTTGTGGAGTTATATGTAGTTGAAGATAGTCTAAAGGGAGTTTGAAACAACGGAGAGAGAGACAGAACGCGAGGCTCACATATGACGTTCAATGGCGTGTCGATGAAGGGCCCATAACGGCTCAGTATGTAGAGGTACTTCATGATGGTGCGCTTGGATGGCCATACGAGTTCCACCTAATTTACTGGTCAACGGAAGACAAAATTAATAGCGGAGGGAATTGGGGTTGACCTCGTCACCAATGACAGAGAACCATTCCGCAACCTGTGACTCGTCAGTTAAGACGGGATCTGTGTATGTGACGGTACCGAGAGACTCACTAGGAGCGACATGCTAGCAACTGAGCACTAGTCAGATGCGGAAGACCCTTAAAATTGCCAGCGAAGCTTGCCTTGTACATACTGTTAAGGGGGGCATAATACACTTGAGAGAGAGATGCGGAACGCAGAAGCACCACTTACTCGGACGACTTGTAGGCGAGCAGCGGATACAGCGAGTGCAGTTCCATCGCTTAACGACATCGATGGCATCGAGGTAGAAACTCCTGAACGGTTCTCGCCTTTGTACCCAACCATGCGGGTCAGTCCGAGAATTCTTTACGCGTTGGGTATGCCTCTGCACCGATCAAGAGGTGCAGCGCTTAGTGCTTCATGGAAATGGAAGCGACAGTTCAAGAGCCAATTTGATAAAATACCTGTGCACTTGTCAGCGTCTACGGAGTTCCTCCAGAAGCCTTCACGCATATGTCGCCACATATACATAGGCCATATGCCATAAGTGCGGAGTGCACTGATGTCCCAGTGTCGGGCATGATCTGCGTTGTTTCTCATCAAGCGCGGGAGGCCCATAAACCAAATCCTAGCGGAAATGGTGACTTCTGCCTTGATCATGATCGAACTGGCCTCACTACCAAACTACGACAGGGATCACATCTTGGCCGATGTCGCTAGTATCCATGGATTATAGTGTCCTGAACAATATTGGAAGTGGCATATCCAGCAGAACATAGGATCTTACCGGAGGCTAACCAAAGCTGGAAGTGCTCGCGAGCTTCAGGTTAGTTCAACCCCGTTTCTGTTACAGTTTCAATTGTAACAGAATCGTGGCGTTGTTTACCGGTGCATCTGGATCCGGCATACCCCGGTACAGCACTCTAGCTGAAATGGATAGACCTCTGGCACCACCCCATTCCTCTCAAAAGCCTGAGGTGGCAGATCTAACGGTCTTGGATAAATCGAGGTAGAGTCAACAATCGTTTCGTTACAGAAGCCGGCGTAGATCTACAGCACCTGTCCATCACGATTATGGCGACAAAGCCCTATGTGAGGCTAGTCAAAACTTCGGAGCTGGATCGCCTTGCGGTGGTTCAGCGACGAGCTTTCCTACGAGATCCAGAGTTCAACTATTTTGGTAGCGTCAAGACAGTCAGTCCACGCCACAAGCCTGCTGTATAGTGAAGCCTAAACAATACTTTCTAGCCTCTTTCACAGGAGGTAGATGGCGCTGAAAAGCGTCATCTCGAGGTCTTCTTCAAGTTCCTCAACAAAGCCTGCCTAAAATGTGGAGCGCGTATCACAGTGGCCGTAGCACCTACTGAAGCAGGCGAGGTAATCTGCGCCTCGACGACATGGCTACCTCCTCGCAACCGGATCTCGCTAGGGAGGACATGGGTCCTACTGCGAAGTGGACTGTTCCAGACCCTCAAAGCCTGGGGTCTAAACGGTTTACTGGTAGATAGGCACAATTCCTCTGCCTTACTTTGGTTGACCAACGCTTCTCCTCTTTCCGTACTCGCTCAGCGTGTTGGGATTGAATACGGCGACGTATCCGAGAAAGCACTGAAGGAGGCCTTCGCTGCTAAAGGCATTAAGGAATCTCCGAATACGTCGTGGTACCTCCAACTGGCTTGTACCGACCCAGATATGCAAGGGCAAGGTTCGGTATGACACCCCTCTCCCAATTTTATCCCTGATGTCCCGTCGTCCCAGGGTATATGTCCTTGCTATGTCGAGAGGCCTTCGAATTTGCTCCTTCGAGCACATTTACACTTGAAGCTACCACCGTGCACTCTCGAGAACGTTATGCCCACTTCGGCTTCGAGGTCAGCAAAAGAATTTAGTCCTGTTCAGCAACGCTTATCTTGTGTGACATGTCATCTACAGCTGTTCAAGGAACTTAGATTGGGTAAGGGTAAGGTGAACAAGGACGGCCTGCCCGCCAAAGGACCCGACGCGGAAGGAGTACTAGTATATAGCATGGTGAAGGTGAGCACGTTCTAGATAGTTGTCCGAATAATCTTCATGTGATGGTTGTTATAGTGGTAGTTAACATTCTGCATGCGGGCTTTTGGCAGGCGCTGCTACGATTCTCTACCATTCGTCGACCAAAGCCATTGAAAACTGAGTTCGAGGGGTGGACGTGTTTATTCTTCAGGGAACGGGGGACTTGATACCATATGTCTGCTTATCTTCGATGCAATCTACTTAATCACCATTGATTGCGCAAGGCACGCCACCTATAGGATACTAGGTCATAGGAATATTACTAGTAATGCCAGTTAACAGGACCGTGCCGTGCTCGTCGTGCAGGTCGTTTTCCTTACATATGAAGTACGTAAGTACGGCCACCAGGTGTCAGATGGTGCTAGTAATCAGTTTCGAAGACGGCCTTGGGCGCGATGGGAGTCTCGGTGATGTAGATCCGCTCATTTATATTCGGGACTCCTCTATTTACTGACATGACCACAATGCAAGATTCAGAGCTGAAGCCTATGTACGACTGGCATCCAGGGACGACATTGACCAAATCATGTCCATGGAGCGGCGAGCGTTCACCGTCGACCCGGAATTTCACTACTTTACCGGAATTAGATCGGTAGATCCTTCACTGCTGGCGTTACGGTGCTTCCCTTAGCATACCTCCACAGTTCTCAGACAACGACACGAAGCGCAAGGAAGTGCGAAACCTGAAGACGTTCTTCAGGTTTCTCAATAAGTGGTCCTGGAACTCCGGAGCCCGATTCACCGTTGTTGTGGTCCCCACCAGCGAAGGCGAGCGAGTCGCCGCCCTCACTATATGGATGCCGCCAGGCAAACGGCTGTCGCTGGGGAAGATGTGGCTGGATATGCGCAGCGGGTTTATGTCCGCTATGCGCGCCTGGGGCATCCGAGGTCTCGTGGTACGCAGAAGCCTAACAATCCCCGACAATCCGTCTGACGCCACACGGTGACCTCGAATGTGCACCGGCACGCGAGATGGCTTTACAGGGCATCTACAAGGCGTGAAAGGCCAAGGAGTCCCCCACGGACTCGTGGTACCTGCAGCTAACCTGCACCGATCCTGAAATCCAGGGCAAGGGTGAGGGTTCATCTACGTGACCCGCCTCGATTTACAAAACCGTTTGGGATGGCTTCCTGTCCATGCTCTGTCGAGACGCATTCAAGTACGCTCCGGATAGTGTGTTCACGGTCGAGGCGTCCACTGCGAAGTCCAAGGACAGATACGGACATCTAGGGTTCACTGTGAGCATACGTGTTTGATACATGGGTTCATGCTAGCACTTACTTTACGTCACACAGGATATCCGACCTCTAGTAGTCGGTAAAGACCAAGTCAATGCGGATGGTCTTCACATCAAAGCAGAAGATGCGACTGGTGAGCGTGCCCCCACACCCTAATCTTAGGGTCCAGTGGACAGTGGTCGTACAAATTTCGTCCCGCAATGCCATTGGTTTTCCGGTATGCTGCTAGGAAGGATATACTCAGGTTCATCAGTCGCATATAAATTCGGAGTAGCGCTGGTATTTGCTGGCACGCGTATCTCTTGCGGAATGACTAGATCGTTCTCAGAAGACAAGGCGATGAGAGAACAATTTAATGAACAGCGGGATCGTTGGGCCGAGAAAGTGCGCTACGAGATTATTCCATATGTATTCTGACTTCGGTTCTGTGCGTCGCTCTCCTTCCGGTCGGAGCTGGTCTGTATATTTACGCTACTGCACGGGAGATATCACCGACTCACCGGCCGACCATGAGATTCATTGTAGCTGCAATGAATATATGAAACCGATCCTTCGAGTTGACATTCCAGATCCCATTGCTAGGACCACCATGAGCTTGTCCATTGAGAATCTGAAAATTTCCTGGGCAATGTGCAGCGGATCGACCTTCAACAATAGGGTGCATTAAACCACCGATGTTCCCTTGAGTCACGCATTGAAGGCCACTGGGCGGTTGTCCAGTGACTCCATTCACGTATCTGCAGCACAAGACGCTAACACAGAAGGTTTGGCTTGCTGTGATCTGATTGCCTCGGACGGTGAAGGTGACTTACTTGGATCAGGCACAAGTCAAGAGCTCACCTCTGACCTGCTCGAACTACCTACACGCTGCGTTAGTGGTTTCTACGACCCAACATGGAGCACTGGAAAGCTGTCCAAAGCCGCATAGGACCTCGGCTCGTGAAGTGTCCACAACTGTGGTCGATTGCAGCACTTCGGCGCATTAGATGACACCCGGCGCACATAAACAAGTGTTCATAACTGCAAAGCCGGGCGACGCCTAGCCAAAAACGGCTATCGCGCGAGTGGCACGGCCAACGACGGTGCGGCAAACATCAACAAAGAAACTTTGTGGGTCCCACCTACCCGATCGTATCGGCCCGACTTCAACATCAACCGTCTACAACATCAACAGTCTACAACCGCGTCTGCCCGCTCACCTAAACAATGTCCTCCGCCTCACGTCCGAAGGATGAAGCATCCAAATTCAAATCGCGTACCTCGCTTCCAAGCCAGAGTGGCTCAGCATCTGTGGCTCACGCCGACGCATCGACCGACGAATGCCGGTTGATCAATTTCTACGTGCTGCTCGACAGCAAGCAAAAACTCATCGACGCACAATCGTCAGGCGACGAGTCCGCAGAGGGCGCTGGCGCTGACTCTTCGAGTGGAGGAGAGATGAAGACATTCGGCGAGGTCGCCATCGAGGCGGACGAGTACGTGGAGAAGCGGATGGACGTGTTGGCTCAGATGGTCGAGGAAGGACTTCTGTGGCTGGACAGATTTGCGGAGAACGCGCTGGGCAGAGAGAGGTATGCGAGTTCCGGACTTGAGGTGAGCGTTGTGATGGTCGCGAATGCGAAGTGGTTCTGGTTATTGACAATTGCATTGCCGCGTTGCTACAGAAACTGACGGATGCGCAACTGGCCGAAGTGGCGAGGACGCGGCGCCAACAAAGGAGCAGGCTTGTTCAAAGCACATTGCCAGCCACACTCCTGTGTGGATTGTCGTCCAAGGTCACTGAGGAACCCAGCCTTGTCCAAGACAATGCGTCGGATTCCGGAAGATCAGGCAATGAGGAGGAGAGGGATCCCAATGTCGCGCTCCCGGATGTACGCGTCATCCCAGCGACTCCCTTATCCCCAGGACACATCCAAAGCGGGCTCAACCGAGAAGACCAGAACCCAGAGTACTTGAGAACGCCACGGATGAATTACAGAAAACGAGAACGAGAGGAGGAGCTGGGAGAGGAGGCGGAGGGTATTGATAGCCCTAAAAGCCGCAAACGAAGGAGACGGAGCAGGCTTTATAGGCGGATTGTTGTGGACGAAAGTGATGACGAGGATAACCCTCCTTGATACGAACGTAGACGTTAACGTTGATTTCCATCCGGTTATATTATTGCGTGTGGCAGAAGATCCCCTCTAGGTTCGGTTTCCTCACCGGAAGCCTTGTAAATCAGTGCCAGCCTGCCCGGTCCTCTCAATCCTACAATCAGTGGTCCTGTTTCGCAAGTCCGTCCCCCTCTAGATAAATGGTAGGAAACCCGTGGATGTGTCGACACGAAGAGCCGTAAATCCTAAGGCCTAAGAGACAAGCATGGTGCGCTCGAGTCGGAGTGGCAAGACCATCAACCGCCGTCCATGTACATGTCAGAATTCAACTTCCGCCCTGGTCTCTAGAGTCCAAAACCTATTCTGACGTCTCATAATATTTCCTCGCGACCTGCTGAGCTTGCTCTGCATTCGAAATTCGATAGTCATGGTATTTGTTGGTCTTATGGGGCTCAAAATTTTCCCAAACATTCCATGCCTGTACTGACTCGGAGCGACCGGACCAAAGTTTTATGAGGTTTTATCCAGTGCCTTGCACTGGTATTGTAGTTCTCCCAGGATAAGACAACGAGAGACCTACAGGAGCTTAGGGGATGCCGAACTGTGTTGCCCAGACTCTGCGTGAGTTCAGGTACGCTTAACGTCTCTCTCGCCCCGTGACGCTACTAATGTTCTCTTCCTGCAGCGTGTATCTCTAGCCGACTCAGACGCTTTTGCCTCAAGGACGCTTCGCATGGTGAGCATGTGTGTGACTTCGCTGATCTCGGGTTGCACGGGCAACAGTCTCTGAATTCTTTCACCCAATCTCGACACCTCTCAGCTGCAGATTACGGCCGAATTTGGGCAAGCTCTATCGACGGAGTACAGTACCGGTACAAACAACTCGCCGCCTACTCACTTTGTACTGTTTTGTTTTGATATCACCGACGCCTGCTGATCCAGTGTCCTATTGTTATCCCAGCTTCTCGGATTTGTCTCCGCCTGGCCAATGTGATCGTTCTAACTTGACTAGCATCACTCCGTGCTACCCATGTGTTACGACAGGTTCTTCTTGTCCTGCGGGGTGTAGCGTCCTACCAAAGGTAAGATCGCAATGCAATGTGAGGAATTCCGTGGGGATGACGGGGGTGGACATAAGACCACATTGTCTTTCGTGTGGGCTCCATCCCCGCTGTTCTTCCCCGGCTCAAATCATGTCGCTCGGTCGCATACCGCTGACGTTGATCGTCACCTGCGGTCTTCACGTATGCTTGACGAACCCCAATCCCGGCGTGTCGGATGAAGAGCGAAAAACGTTCGCTGGATCCGCAGGTTTCAAGGGGAACGTTATAACGTGGTACCCAAACATCGTCAAGGTAAGATTCAGTCCTCTCTGACGCGAATGATCGATGCTTATCTGTCTCGTAGTACGCGCAATGGGCCGGCGCCTTGTGCGAGATTGCAGTCATTCTTGCTAGCAAGTACCCCCACGCTCCCCCGATGGACTGCATATTGTCTACCTTAACCATGAAGCCTGAGTCCGCCGCCTCAGTTCGCGTTACACCACAATTCCTGGCGGGTTTCTCTCTCGCCGCGATTGGCAGCTTCATTCGGTACCGATGCTACCGCACGCTCGGGAGGCATTTCACGTATCAGCTCGCATTCCGCAAGGACCATCAGTTGGTCACGTGGGGCCCATACGCCTACGTCCGGCATCCTAGCTACATCGCATTTATCACGGCTTTCGCGGGAGTGTGTGTTTGCTGGTTCAGCCCGGGGTCGTGGTTGACGGAGTGCGGAATCCTGGATACGCAGACCGGGAGGTGGGTCGTCGGAGTGTTGCTTGCTGTGGAGATATCGCTTGTCGGAATTTGCGTGGCGAGACCCGCCCGGGAGGATAGAGCGCTACGGAGCCAGTTTGGTGAACAGTGGGACAAGTGGGCGAGGAGGGTTCCGTACAGGCTGGTACCCTATGTGTACTGACCTCCGTCGGAGGTGAGATATTATATGCGACTCTTATCGGGACGCAGTGATATTCATAATCTCACAGAGTCAACGCAAAAGAGACATGCATGTTCAGTGTAGGGGACACATCGTGTGTACGATACCCATGTCGCCACCGGGCGTGTTGTCCATCGGTTGTCATCACTGTATTCATCCGTCGTTCCAAATGGATGGAACCTACAATTGCCGGCGTGTGCGAGCGTTTACTGTATGGGTACGAGCTGCTCCCTGTCATGCTTATTTGACCTCGAAATGCGTGAGAACCGAAAAGCCACGTTCATAGGCCTACCGGTCTATTTCAGTCCCGGAATGTCCAATGGAAGTTGCACCGCGACACCCGGCGTCTGTCTTTCAACCGGAACTGGAACATGCTGCGGTGTAGGCGTACGGTTCCATAAGTTAGTCCAGTTTGCAGCGGGCGGCTGACTGGTGGGTGCCGTCTTCCCCGTGAGTACTAGGCATGATCATCTCGTTATATATATACACTTACTGATAGCCGCCTTCCCAGATCCCCTGACTTCCACAAACCCGCAGACGCTCTGTTCAAAGCACCCCTGCTGAGATGGCATCTTTACTTATTGACAAAGTTGTCTTCAACACTCCTCTGAAGGTTGAGGGTGTTGCGCTGAGGATGGCAGTCAACCGATACTGCCCTGCCCAACCAGCGGCGGAAGGGGTGACACTGCTCCTTGCGCATGCTAGCGGTACCCGTAAGCGCCATAGCTCGTATTCGTTTCTTCGCTGGTCTGATACACCGTAGATAAGGAACATTGGGAGCCGTTCTTGGAACGCCTCTATGAACTGCAAGGTGACGCCCGGACCGTGCGCGAGGCGTGGGCGTTTGATTGGCATACGCACGGAGATTCAGGCGTCCTGAACTCCGCAGCACTGCGAAGTGTGCCTGATGACGGAATTTGTGAGTGCTGTAACGTCTAGATCTGAAGGTAGAAATGTGGCTAACAACGTGTGCATAGCGATCTCGCACTGGGCTGAGGCGATTGCTGCCTTTGTGGAAAGTCATCTAGCCACGCACCGTTTGGTGGCTATCGGACATTCGGCTGGTACTTCCGCTGTGTACGTATATCTTCCAGGACAGATTCTGCCATCGGTTGACGCTGATCCTTAATCCCACCGAAGCCTGTATTCTACAAAATGTTACAAGGCGTCCCCCGTGAAATACGAGAAGATCATTCTTGTAGAACCCGCCTTAATTGATCGGGATGTTTATCGGCAACACTCCGAGGAGCGTGGACGGCAGATCAAACTTCTTACGAAGGCTATCTCAGCGCAGAAGAGTAAATGGGAGTCGAGGAGTGAGGCGTATGAATACTTCTCTAAACGGCCACCATGGAAACTGTGGGACGAGCGCGCTCGAACGATCCTGGTGGTACGTCGTTCCTCCGTAACCGGGCATTGTATTGCGTATCCCTTACCCATGTATTCGCAGAATCATGGCCTTCGAGTAGTAGGTGATGGATCTACCTCCACAGGGTCTGTGGCAACCAAGTGCGAGAAGCGGTTTGAGGCAACAAATTATGACGACCTGGAATCTACGATTCAAGCGGCAACGCAGATTGAGAAGATCTGCGCGGAGACACCGATCCACGTTATTTTTGGAGAGATCAGTGATCTAGTGTGAGCTCAATCCCTGTTGCCTGGCAAGGCATCCGTGCTTAAAAGTCACCTCCTGCAGCCCTCGCTATTCGCATGAGACCGCAATCGATACGTCGAAGGGACGGAATGCAGCGTCAATAACGCGGATACCAGAGGCTGGACATATGGTATGGCTGCCGTCAGAATATATGCGATATGCGCTCATATATCTGGCCAGGTCGTTCAACAGCGACCCGACAAGCTAGCCGAGGAGGTTCACGTTATCTTGCGTGCCAGCGGCAGACGACCACGAGCAGCTGCTTTATGAACTCCTTACATGGCGCTGTACTGTTATAGCGATATCTAGTAAGAGTCCTTCGTGATCATTCGATGTAAGGATGACTGACGTGATTCTTATCAAGGATTATGTATAATGCATGTCCCATTCATGATCTGCTGGTCTTTTGAGGGTGGGTCTTGGCCGCTCACCCGCCTTACCTTGCATCGATCGCTGATCACAGATTTTTGGTTTCATTTTGGGTGCAATCTAGAACTGCGTGTCCATTGTACTCTCTCCCAGTGAATTGCTTAAACCGCGGATCTGTCTTTTTGGTCGATCGTGAGCCGATGAGCCGAAATATCTCCTACGCTGTAGACGATCCTCCCCTTTGCAGGAAACTAAACTAGAACGTCTATCAACATCTCCGTGGTTTGTCCCTTTAGTTGTCGCCTACGGCTGTGCAGACATACCTGCCACCGTCTATCCTCCGTTCCCCGATGATCTCCCTTAGTATTTTCTTTTTTTGCGTATTTTCCCATTCTCTGCCACCGCTGTACAACCCCCCCCCCCCCCTCCTTAGTACCTCTCCTTCCCCTTCTGCCATCCTCCACCGTCGCCCAGACCCGCTTTTTACCGCTTATCCCCCCTTTCAGACAATCCCCCGCTCCTTTAGATAATCGTTGGCTGCATTCTGAGAATCATTCTCTGTCCAACCTTCCCCCTCCTTCCGTGTCTGTCCGCCACTGCCGTTCCGTACCGGTGTGCCGAGCTACCGGGAAAGTCCTCTCGATTACATCATAGATGATTATTCGGTCGATTGGATGGATCAGTGCTCTAAACGGGCCATCTGTGTAGATTTTTACTGTCCTCTGTTCTGTATTTCTATCCCAAGTCTGCTGTATCTCTATCTTTACGACCGACCGCCATGAGTTCTTGGAGAAACCACCGGGTGGTCATTGCATCGCTATTCCTGCCGACGACGGCGGTTTTGGGGGAGTCGCCCCCTCCTACTCCAGACCAGGCTCCTAAGGAGCCGCCAGTGTCTGCTACCTCGGCAAGCTTCAAGCTGGGCGATACACCGAGGTCGCCTTTGCCGCAGCGACCGGGGCCCTTGAAGAGTATCGTAGAAGATTTGAAGGTGAGAATTCATTCGTGCGCTCCTATCCGTGGCTATCGTGCGGATTCCCTCTGAAAGACTGAAATGAGAGTAGTCGAGGGAGGAAGGAAGAGAATTATATAGTTTACGAAGTGGCGATTGACAAGAGAGTAGTGTTCGTCCTTACTGACCCTTGTAATAGTCCAGGACTGCGACCCCCCTTGGAACACCCGGTAATGAAGCCTTGAACCCCTTTTCGACTCTATTCGGTCAGGCATCCAAACCGACAACTAGGACGAGCTCGCCAAATGCCATTGCACCCAAGCTACCCCCGAGATCGCCCCGGCGCACCCTCACCGACCACCACATCCCGCACCGTGTCCAGCGCAAGCATTCGCGATCGTCCTCTGCCCGCCGCCCCGACCCCGAGTCTCGCATTGCGCAGCAATGGCATGTCGAGTTCAACCCGCACTGCAACGGCGGCTTGAAGAACGCGGTGAACAGCGTCGACGATAAGATCAGGAAGCAGTTGTGGGTCGGGGTGTTGGGCACGAACACGGATGGGTGGAAGGAGCCGCTCAAGAAAAATGTGGAGAGGAGGATGAAGGAGGAGGAGGACAGTGCAGTTGTCTGGATTCCGGACGCCGAGTTTGCGGGCTGCTACGACGAGTTCTGTCATCAGGTACGTAGATCGTGCTCGTGTATGATCAGGACCTTGCTAATACCAGACAGGTCCTCTGGCCGGCATTGCACTACGCCGTCCCGGACGCTCCCAAGACCAAGTTCTTCTACGAATCTGCCTCGTACAAGCAGTACGTTGCCGTGAACCAGCACTTCGCCGACGCCATCGTCGCGAACTATCAAGACGGCGACATCAGTAAGTCGCCCATACCATTTCTCGTCCTTCCCATGACTCACGTTGCCATTAGTCTGGGTGAACGATTACCACCTGATGCTCGTCCCGCGCATGGTGCGCGAGAAGCTTCCCAACGCCATTATCGGGTTCTTCCTGCATGTCGCCTTCCCGTCGTCCGAGCTCTTCCGCTGCCTCTCCGTGCGGGAACCGCTCCTCCGCGGATTGCTCGCAGCCGATTTGATCGGGTTCCAGACCGCCAACTACGCTCGGCACTTCAGGCAGACGGTCAGTCGGATCTTGGCCCTGGAGGCGCTGCCCAAGGGCGTACAGACGGAGGACCGGTTTGTGGATGTGGGAGTGTTCCCGATGGGGATTGATGTGAGGCTTCTGGCTGAGCGGAGGTGAGCATCCGAGATACCTTTGGTGAGAGTAAGAGAGGCTCAATGTGGTTCTAGGAAGGACCCTGAGGTTGCCGAGTGGGTGAACTCGCTGAAACAGCGTTATGCGGGGATGAAGATGCTGGTAGGCCGTGATAAGCTCGACGAAGTCCAGGTTATTAGTACTTTATAGCACTGTTTGTCGCAAGCTGACAGGCATGACGTTTAGGGTGTCCGTCATAAGATCCTGGCCTTCGAGATGTTCCTTGACAAGCATCCCGAATTCCGCGGGAAGGTGAGCATCTACTTGCCCTTTGCAGGAATTTTACACTCAACGTATCGGGTATTAGGTCGTACTCATTCAAGTAGCTCTGCAAACTACAGAGGAGAACGAGCTCCAGGGTGGCGTGGCTGACATAGTTGCGCGCATCAACTCACGCTACTCGACGCTGACGTACCAGCCCGTGGTCTTCCTGCACACCGAGGACTTGTCGTTCAGCCAGTACCTCGCGCTGTTGACTGTCGCGGACGCGTTCATTGTGACCAGCTTGCGCGAGGGTATGGCGCTCAGGACGCACGAGTTTGTTGAGTGCCAGGAGGAGACTAAGAGGCCGCTGATTCTGAGCGAGGTGAGTGTTCAGTATATTTGAAGGGAGACATCTGCTGATACGTATACTAGTTCACGGGATCGTACAGCTATAGCGGATTCAGGTCGTGTATCGCGATCAATCCTTGGGATAGTCGTGGCACTGCTGAGGCGATCTACAAGGTGCTTTTCTTCCGTCTATGCTGCTCGCAAAATCTGACAGGATGTCAGGCGCTTACGATGGAAAGTGACGAGGCCGCTTCACGCTGGGATGTATGTTGGATTCCCGTGTCACGCTAAGTTGTTCTGACCCGCCCCGTTTAGGATCTCCATCACCATGTCGTTGCGCAGAACTCACAGGCCTTCGTCACTTCCTTCCTCACTCGGTGTCTGCGCACCAACATCGAGCACCTCCGCGGGGACGCCCGGGAAGTCGCGCAATTCGACATCGGGCACATCTTGCCGAGGTACCGGCACTCTGAGAAGCGGCTGTTGCTCCTCGACTTCGAAGATACAATCTGGAAGCGCGACCCAAAGGCGCCGACGTTCGACCCGCCAGAGGAGGTGTATAGCCTCCTCAACAAGCTTGCAGAGGATCCGAAGAACGAGGTGTGGGTGCTTAGTGGGCTTCCGGTGAAAGGTGCGCTGGAGGTGCTTGCGGAGAAGGTGCCGAAGGTTGGGATTGTGTAAGTTCGGAGTCCGCTGCTGCTTGGATCTAGCTCACGTTGTTTTGGTATTGGTAGAGCGGAGAACGGTTGTTTCATCAAGACTCGGCCTACGAGAGGCGGTGGTTCGCAATGGATCAATATGGTTGCAAATTTCAACCTTTCATGGAAGCCTCTGTGTATGGAGCTACTGAACTACGTACGTTGGTCTTCGTTCCTTCACTGATGTTTCTAATGCCGTTGGTGGTTGTAGTTCACAGAGCGTACTCCTGGATCCTTCGTTGAGGAACGTGAAGCATCCGTAGTATGGCGATTCTGGTCGGGACCACCTGATGAATCGTCTGGCGATCGTCAGTGGGCACGCCGACAGGCTGCGGAGGCGCAGAATCACATCTTCGATAGGTATGCGCTGTCGTACCGCTCTTTTACCTGGAAACTGACAATACGTAAAAGTATCGGCGAGCGATACGGTTTGCGCATCGTCCCCGGTGCCAACAGTTTCCTGGTTTTGCCCAACAACATTTCGCGGTCCACAGCTGTAGGAGCGATCCTGCATCCCGGTGGACCTGCGCACTCTCCACTGGCCGGACGTGCGGCTTGGATGGCCGCCGATGCCGCTGAGTCGGGAGACATTGGCGATACCGACTTTGTCCTAGCTGTTGGCAGTGATGAGAGGTTGCTGCGCAGGCTCAACGAGCTTGATGATTCGGAGACATGTTCTACAGGAAATAAGGGAACTGACGCGAAGTGGAGACTCGAACCGGATGCCGTTGTTCCGACGTTGTCGCAGTTCGCAAACAAGTAGACTCGGAATAAAACACGAGGAAGGAAATGATCTAAAGATGATGTATACATGTAGTCATAAAGTTGGGCTTCGCAGCGCATTCTTCATTTGTATTGTATAACTAGATCCGCAATACATACATTCCCGGATACACCGCACCACAGGCATTTACATAAGGCCTCAGCAATGTTTAATGTGGCGCTGTGGCAACCCTAACCCAACTCCACATCGTTAGGATCAAGAGTAGGTTGCATCTTCGACTTGAACTGACACAAGCATTTCTGTAAGTATTGTAACACGTCCCATGCTTCATATCGCGATTGTTCTGATGTCTCCAGTGCATAGATATGAAGGAGATCATATACATCCAAGCAGGCCCTCTAGCTAATTACACCGGCCAGCACTTCTGGAACACGCAAGAAGCCTACTTCACATACGATGAAGAGGAGTCCGCCTCGAAAGAAGAACCGTTAACAGATCACGACGTCTCCTTTCGGGAAGGCCTCTCACCCTCGGCAAGTGCAAAGGTGGGTTAAATTCTTACTGTCTAATTATGCCTTAGGGGGAGCCCACGTACTGCCCGAGACTGCTTGCTTTTGACTGGAAAGGTAAACAACACCTTGGTCCTTGGAAGTTTGCCCGTGACTGAATGAATCCAACAGGCAACTTTGGCACGCTCCGAGCTGATCTCTACGGAGATGCAGGTGAAGATAAAACTGTGACATCGCTTTGGTAAAAGAACTGTGTTATCAGCACATACGCGAGCTCATGAGTTGCCAAAAGGAATGGCGATGTCGTTGAGTTTCGACAGGACCCCATACCAAGGAGTCAGTACCACAAGGAGCTTGAAAATGAATCTATGGACCATGTCGACAATGACGTCAACTCTTCGACTCATGTAGAAGGGAAGAGGCAAGAAAACGGGTCCTCAGATATTCGATTTTGGGCCGATTATAGTCGAGTTTACTACCACCCGCGGTCATTACACAAACTTCCTGAACCTGCCGAATGGCAAGATACAGCAGGAGACTGGAATTACGGACAAGACCTCTTCACACAATATGATCAGGTATGTGTGTGGCACCATCCATTATACCCCGACTGACTGTTTTTCCGCAGGACAATGCCTTGATTGATGATTCACTGCGACATTTTATGGAAGAATGTGACGCCTTGCAGGTACACTGGTTATGTAGACGCCTTTCTTCCTTCCACTCATCAGAACATAATCGCAGGGGATTCATGTTATGAATGATACATCATGTTTTGGCTCATTTACTGACTCTATGCTTACAATGCTCAAGGATGACCATCCGAAGTTGTCGTGCATTGTCGTTCCCTTCCTTTCGGGCGAAGTGAAGATGGACGCATTGGAGTCGGATGTAGGTGCTTTCCGTGAATGAAACTATGATGTTACCTGAGCATGACCATCTAGGCAGCTATGAGGGTTGTAATCAACGACGCGCTTTATCTTCGGAATCTTCGATCCTACTCGACCTTGTCTGTCCCAATTCAGTCTCCATCTACATGGGCCAACGTTGGGGCCTGGATGTCTGACCTTACAGCGGATGTAAGTCTTCGAATCGCCTGTCATTTTTTACAATTCCTGTATTTTGAAGAGTAGGTATCGAAGCTATACCACACTTCTGCGGTTCTCTCGAGCCACATCGAAAGTGTCACTCTTCCTCTGAGGTGCGCATCAAGATAATCATCGAAATGTATACCTCAGCGTCCTCATCTCTTCACGCTAGAATGAAGGGGGGTGCAATCGATCTTCGCGACTTCTGTAACTCTGTCGCCTATCCCACGAACGTGCCGTTTGCTCACTTGAGTGGTATTCTCCCCTTGTCAAATCCGATTGCAGAGTCTATGTTTGACGAGCGTATGCACGATTTCTCGAGGACCACTACGCATGAAGTGCGTACCTTATTGTAGGTCTATAATAGCGTTGACATCTTCTTCCCTTCCAGACCTCCGCCGTATACGCAAGGAGGGACACTACTAGAGGCTTCTCCAGAGCAGACAGGCAGCTGTACGATGCTTGGCAGGAGAAGTCCGGTATCCCGTTCGCGCTCTACGACATGTGTGTTCTCAGTCACGCCGGGGCTACTGATGTTGATATACGTTTTCTTCGCAGCACCCATGCACCAGCTCTTCCTCTCCCAACCTCCTTTCCACCTATCATAAACCCATCCCTTCGTATCCCTCCAGCAACTCCTGACAAGAAAGCTCGAGCTACCACGTACTCCACTCGCTGTCTATCATCTCTGTACGCCACCTCCGTCACCTCCCGTCTCTTCTCTTCCTATGCGTCTTTCGTCGAAGACTGCGTCAAAAGGAAGAAACAATTCAAGGAAATTCTGGGAATGGAGGTGGATGAGATCAAGGAACTGGCAAGCGAGTTGTGGATGATGCATGATGCATATCATGGCGAGGACGAGATTGAAGATGAAGAATTTCAAGACGTGTCAGACGAGGAAGATTAGTAAGGCGGCCTCTTTTCAGTATTCGCTAGTAACGTCGCGTCCGACGTGTAAACTGTATGATAATCGTCCAAACGCAACAAGGTGACAACTAGACAGATTCCGGATGTCCTACAATTACAAAATGCGGGGCGTTACACACATACAAACAGCGCTACGTGAACGATTTACACTGATACACCGTGGAAGGGGCCGGGCGCGATACCAGACAGGTGTCCGGCGAAAAAGGAGTAACTCGTGCAACTGAAGGAAGTGTCCTCTTGAATGAAGGAACGTTGCGTGGTCATCGAGACCAACTGTATAGAAGCGTGGGTCCGTGTTGCTTAAGCGTGTCGTGTTGCAAGTGGTATCAGGCAATGTCTCGTTCGCTGCCAAAGCAAGAGGTTATGAGCACTTAGAGGTCTTCGAGAGACACATCTACTCACGTAATGGTATGGTCAGCTTGGAAAGACGAGTGCGGTCATGAAATGATGCAATATGAAAAGGCTCCGCCTCCACATCGCTCGGAGTCGACCAGCGACTGCGTCTCAGTTTCAGAGACAGACGGTTCGATCGTCAGAGAGAAGGCGTCAAAGGAATCCATCGGGTAGATTTCGTGAGAGGAACAGAAGGCCCTTGTGAATAGAGAACGGGTTTCGCTTGTTGAGCAAGCACAATTGCATGGCCTGCTTTATATGGGCCAAGAAATCTTGGTTCGAAACCGCGACGATTTTGTACAATTAGCCATGCGACTGCTCCGGACCCACATTTAGCTCGCCGGTATAACCAGACGCAGTGTCCCTGCTGTCAGCAAGGTCAAATGCGATGCACAGGACGGGCTCGTTATTGTGTGGCTGGGAGGTTGATCCGAAGACGGCAACCGCGGATCTAAAGCGTAGGTCCCTAAACAAAAGCATGGGAGTATGCTCCGTATGCCGTCCAGGGGATACGTCCCGAAGTTCCTCTTAGTATCAGATCCTTTGAGATGTTAGAACTCGAATGTATCGCCTGTGCTAACCATAGCTGCTCACAATGAGCGAGCAAGATGCCTATTGACTGGACATATGAATTTAACTTTGGTTGAAAGATTAGAAGTGGATCCAGACCTCGTTTAATACTGCAGTCAGGATGTCGTCCCAGGATGATGGAGTCCAAGTCCTTTGGCTTTATATGCTGAATGGTCGAAGATGCCGCGTCACGGTCAACAATTGCAATTCGTTGTGGCAAATCCTAAAATAGGAATTCCCGCCACAGGACAAACAAATGCCAATTTATGCCAAACTAGCAACGCGGTTCGGGGAGCAGTGTATTTGAAGGCGCGTAGACCACTAGTGTTCAGTGAAAAAAGTCCCAGACCTAATCTCCCGTGTTAATTAACCGACTGCCACAGGGGAGGGCTAATTCACCTCTGTATTTTACCCGTTAATTAACCGATTCAAAAACAACCAAATTTCCGTTAATTTACTGAGTACATTAGGCCTATTTGACTTGTAAATTAACGCCCTCAGGTCGTCCCATACTAACTCAGTCCTCTAGTTGTTCCTCCGGAGTGCGATGATTCTGGTCATCGTCTGGTAAGGCAGTGTCTGCGATAGGTGTTCCAGATATTCTCGCAATAAATGCAGACGCTTGTCAGCCATATCTCTCTGCACAAGACGCAGAGCGAAAAAAAGGAGAGCGACGGCGATGATGTCTTGGGCTTTAGTTACCGGTTTGTTATTTGCCGATAGTCCTCAGGCTTTCACTAGTAGTACATTTCCTGAGAACTGATATTAAAAACACTACAAATGCATTCCTATGGCTGTTGAGCTATCCCTGCAGGTCAAGGGTCATGATCATCTACGAACCCTAATTTACCCTATTTCACCTGACATTTTCCTGCGAGGTGTGGCTCACTGGTAAACTACCGGTGAATTAGGCGGTGTTAATTAACAGGGTTAATTACCGTTGCCATTTTCACGGAACACTATAGACCACTCCGCTCCAGCTTGCACGCTGCTTCTGCTCTTGCTTGTGTTGCTCAGGTTGGTACTGACAGTAATCCAAGCAAATTATGCATAAGCTGAACTCGACAAGTGCCGACGGCTGTCGGCAGCTTACCCCTCCTTTGTGCAGCTTGAGTACTATTCTATACAAATTATTGTATCATAGCATGTTGAGATCAATGTTAACATCTCGAGTCATAGTCAGTTTGCATGCTGCTAATCGGGCTGAGTGAGTTTCCAGGTCCGGGAGATCGAGTGGAATACTTATCCTGGGCAGTCCAAGAGATGTTCCATTGTGCATGCCCGGAATATGCAGTAAGCACACGCAGGGTGGCACTGTCAGGCATCCCCCGGCTGCCTAATGGCAAGCATCCTGTTGCCTACGGTACAAGCTATCACAGTGTTGAAAACGTGCTGTATACAGTACACTGACTCTACAGTAACACTGATCGAGGGTGGCATAATGCCACCCTAGGGCAGCAAAGAAGGCACTTGTTATCTATTCCTCAGATATATGTAACTGTAAAGCTTGACACCAAGTATCTGATGGATTGAAGACTCTGACCGCACCGGCAGGCCGCTAACTTGAGAGTTAGAAGTTGATATCATCCAGTATCATTCAGGTCAAGATGAAATAACTATGAGCATTGTTGATGCCGCGCAGCACCCGGGGAGCAAGAAAGATTATTTCCCTGCTTGTAGAGTCCCTGCCGTGGGTTTACCATAGACTTTTACATGTGAGGAATCGGACCTGGCGTGCCGCGCAGCGCCGAATACCTCCCAAGTGGTGTAACATGGATTCCGGTCAGGCTCCTAGAACCATCCGTCTCCGCGTCCTCGATCCTCTCTGCTAGGGCGTATGTGAAGATGTTATGTAATAGGGCTTATATAATGCAACTTATTTATAGATGTGTTTCCTAATTAAGACGACTAGTGAGGATGAGGACGCTCTGAGACGGCTGGCCCAACTCGTCGTCCGAGGCTTTACCGGAATTATGTAAGGCACGGTTTATCGACGTTCGTCGACTGCCCAATTCGGATTTTCGAAGTGGCTTTCTCGTCGCACCTCAGCTGCCTTTGTCCTCTGCTCGCACGCGCGTCGATGGCGGAGCATATGAATTCAGCATTAAATAGAAAGGCACTGTCTGGTGTAGTAATAATACATAAGGAGTCTAAGGGTCTTTTGCTTTGTATTCTCGATGGATAGATTATTTTGAATACATTTGTCGGAAAATCTGGAAAAGACTGATAAGCCCTGACAGAACCTGACGGACTGATCAGGCATTATAATGTTATGTTTCAAGGCTGATAAGCCCTTATCAGGTGTTGTCAGGTTTAGATTAGGTAGTTGAGTGTCTTAAAGGTGGCATGTTGACTACGGTAGCATAATAGTCTAAGTCTAAAGTTATGGCGAAATCTACAAGAGCCGTACGTCTATACGTCAGAGGATGTGAGCGCGAGCGACGGTATCCAAGTCCCGCTGCAGTGATTACGAGTCGCCCGGTAAGGCAGTATGTATGATGTATATATACCAATGTGAGACTCACACACCGATTGTTGCGTAGTGTAGTAGTTATATCGTTAGTCTTTACATATGTCATCATAGTTCAACTCAAGGCCGCCCGTTCGAATCACAGTCGAAGTACCTGTATTAAAGTGGACGTCTTAGATAGTGGTGTCGATGACCATCGGGTGGCGTGAGTGGCTCCTCCTTTTTTCATTTCTGGGACTCATGGCCTTATCCGGGCTTATCATGCCTTATAATGGCTTGTAACCCCCGTCAGGGCTGATCAGCCTGACGGAGGCTTATATGCGCTTTTCGATCATTTCTGAACCCGATAACTCTCCTCGAACCTGATTGACTTATCAGTGCATTATCTGGCATTGTATAGCAATATCATGCTTTTCTGATTTTTCCGACATTGGTAAAGGGCAAGCACCAGGCTCTTCAATGCAAAGTAGCCTGACACCTTATGACATGAGATATTATGTTCAATTTCATTTGATTTCGCTAAAGAGATGGAGACAGTAGCTTCTTGAATCTTGTAGTAAATAATTGTTCGCTATTTTCTTTATTTATATGGGGGAGACTCGGCGGAAGTGCATGCAATCCACAACGCAGATATAATACATTATTTTGTTATTAACAGCTTTATTGCCGTCCACCCGCGTGCGAGCAGAGGACAAAGGCAGCTGAGGTGCGACGAGAAAGCCACTTCGAAAATCCGAATTGGGCAGTCGACGAACGTCGATAAACCGTGCCTTACATAATTCCGGTAAAACCTCGGACGACGAGTTGGGCCAGCCGTCTCAGAGCAGGACCCCTGATAATCAGTATCGAGGCTTTATTTTAGATGCCCAAAATTCAGCGTCTTTGTCCGCGCCAAATTTCCCGATTTTACGCCCTTTTGTCCGCGAAAAATCAGGTGCCAGCTCGATTTGCCTTCCATATTTGGGAATTGTGGCGTGGGTAACGCTCAAATCTTCCCGCGCTCGGCGTATGCCGAGAAATCCTGCCCAAAATGGGCAGGTGATGTCCGCGGGAAAAATAAGGGTTGGCCGCTGGGCTCCCAAAATCGGTCGCTTTGTCCGCGAAAAATCAGGCCTGAGGGGTCTCAGATGGCCAACTTTTGTCCGCGTTTCCACAAAGCCTCGATACTGATAATCAGGGGTCCTCTCAGAGCGTCCTCATCCTCACTAGTCGTCTTAATTAGGAAACACATCTATAAATAAGTTGCATTATATAAGCCCTATTACATAACATCTTCACATACGCCCTAGCAGAGAGGATCGAGGACGCGGAGACGGATGGTTCTAGGAGCCTGGATTCCGGTCTGGTTTATAGTTCTGAGGTTCGGAGACATCCGGGCGGAGTCTCAAAGAGATGTCCCCACCGCCGACGTCGAAGACAGCGTCGTCGTAGTCGTGGCTGGCGTTCTCGCCCTTCTCGTCTGTCAAGTCCATCGATATGCAGACGGCTACCCTGAGGGCGCCCATGCTGCAGCCAGCAAACACGGCTTCAGACCCTGCCTGGTCGTCCGTGGGTCAGCTGCTGCAGTCGGCGTACACCCTGCCTTGCTCGACGGCGGCCCAGGCGTTCATGCATCTCGTGCAGCCAACGTCGCGCTTCCAGCTGGCTCTTGATGCGCTGTTACCCCTTCTCGATGCACGGGTCCAAGTCAGTGTCTCACGTTTTGAACCGAGTCCGGTTTGATCAATCTGGCAGTAGCTGGAGCAGCGCATCCTCGTCTCTTATATCTTATTTGCCTTGTATACGCCTTATCCGATATCTATTAATCCTTTCAAGTCCGCCTTGTATGCTACGTTTGTGAGGGAGAGGGACGCGGCTGCGCGCATAGCTGCGAGTGGGGGCGAGAGTGATACAGAGCAGCTGGTATGGGTTCTATGGAAGATACTGAAGGGAGATGGCAACGATGTGAGTGTGCCAGTGCAATTAATCTGGATGTCAGTTGACCCAGTTGGCAGCTTGGTCCGTATTCTCCAAATACACTCGCTCGATCACGGACGCAACATCCGCGGCTACGGGCATCTAATCTGACTTTGGATGAGGAGAACCCAGCTTCAGATCCTGACGATATGTACGATGTAGTGTTGTGATGCGCTTGTGACGCCTGATGATGTTACCTACAGGACCAACAGTTCTGGCATGACGAACAAGTTGAACGCGGTCCAGCAAGGTCCCTCCAAGCCGCAGCTGCCCCAGGAGCAAAAGGTCACCGCGGAAGAGGATGACAGGAATGAGAAACTGTCGAGAGCGATGTCATTACTCTTGGCTGGGCGGAGTCGAACGTTGAACTTGTCCGAGCAGCGTGTACGTCCGACCTCCATGAGCCCGCCTCCATTCCACTAACCGGGGCCCCCCACGTAGCTCGTGAACTCGCTCATCCCAGAGCTTGTAGCACCGCCCGTGCTCACGTCGGTGGATCTACCTCAGTTCATCCATTTCAACGCCGGCCTCGCGCACCCTCTCATGGCAGCTCTCATATCGCGTCCTCCCTCCTCATCGAACCGGCAAGGCGCAGCAACGTACGTCGACGTTCTCCGCAGGCTTCCGCCAACGTTACCTTCGTTTGACCTGATCGGGCGACTCTTGCGCGATACGACGCCAACGACGGACTCTGTCACCGGCGGGAGGACAACGGTCGCCGACATCGTGCGGTTGGAGGCTCTAGGCGGTTTTGTCCACGGATGCATCGAGTGGGTGGAGAATCGCGAGGCGGAGCAGAAGGACGGATTGATCAGCGACGACCAGGCCGCCCAGGGGGCCCAAAATGTACGTTAACTTTCTGTCGTGAATCGTGAATCGGATCCGACTCACTTTGTGTAGCTTTGTCGGTTCTACAACTCCCTCATTAAGATGGGCATCGTCGACCCGGATTCGGAAGCCGATTCTGCTGAGATGATGTACTTCAGCCTGCGTTATTCGCGCTACGAGGACGCCAATACGCTGTATCGCAACTTGGCAGCGGGCCGCTTCTGACTCCCGGACTCATGACTCACAACGGATCCCATGTTACGCGGCTTATGTTCATATAGCCTATGATTATCGCCACCCTTATGTATGTTCCCCGTATGTGTTCCATTCTCATCATGTACATCTCTCCTGCCGCATAGTATACCTCTGTTCTTATAGCTCACTGTTACGTTCTGACGCAAATAGCATCTTCTCACCCTTTCAACATATTCCCGCATACCCGATGATTGTAGCCAACATACAGTTTCCTCCATTGAAAAAATGAAATATCGAAACATGCATGAGTGCGAAGGGAAAGCATCGTCAGTCATACATACATCCTAACGTTGATGGGAATGAGACAGCGGGTGAAAACAACGAATACTAAGCCATGGGATTAGGGTAGACAGCCGTAAATACAGAGGAAGTGCGACGGAGGGAGTGCAATTAAGACTGCTTCTGCGTTCTGAAGCGTAGGAGAGGTGCCAACCCTGACAGTGGACACGCTTTCTTCAAGAACTCATGCTATAGAAAGCCTTAGTACATAGCTGAACGTTCAGTGCAAACCTCTCACCTCAAGAAGCTCCGCAGCGGTGGCTCTGCTCTTGACGTCGACACACAAGCAGACGCTCAGGAAGCTCTTGAGTTCTCGACTGAGCGCTTCGGGCTTCTTCAACGTCGGCGTGCCGTTGGTGGCGATCAGGTACAGGGCCTTCAAAGGCTCTTCGTCAAGGTATGGAGGTTCGTTCTCGATCATCTCGATAGCCATTATACCGAGTGACCAGATGTCCACCTTGGCGCCGTACTCCTTCTGCTTGACGACCTCAGGCGCCATCCAGTACGGAGTACCGACCATGGTAGCACGCTTCGATTTCTGATCGGTGAGCTTAGCACAGAAACCGAAATCCGCTGAAGGACAAAAGCGAGAGGTCATTAACACAACATAAGCACCGCAGTCTATTGTCACGCACTAATTTTAACACGGCCCTGGGCATCTAACAGGACGTTGTCAGACTTGATGTCTCGGTGAATAATATGCTGGCTGTGCAGGTGACCCAGGCCTTTACATGTCTGAGATGGCACAATGAGCGGGACGCATTTATCATAAGCGGACATACTCACCTCCAGGGAGATGCATGCAATCTGGTCCTCCTCCAAAGTATTGTTCTCGATGATGTCCGTCAGCGCGCCGCCCTCCATATACTCCATGACGACCCATAACTCGTTGTTCTTTACAAGATATGACTCCAAAAAGTTCACGATGTTCGGGTGCTGCGACTCCTTCATGACAAGAATCTCGTTCACAATCAGTTCTTTGCGTGGCTGGTGCGACAAGTCCATCTCTTTGATGGCGACCTTCTTCCCGGTAGCCAGCGTCTTGGCGACATAGACGTGGCCTGAAGCACTACGACACAGTCAGCTTTGCCTTGGGCAGACCGACGGAACATGATCAGACTTACCCCTGGCCAACCTTCTTGATCTTGCTGTACAGGGTCTTCGGATCGTCGTCGCTGACAACGCTCCTCAGCTTCTCCATAATCTGCACTTCCGTCATGGTGCTGATTCGCTTCTCCTTCTCCTTCGGCTTCTCCAGAGCAGCCGCGGCAGCAGCCACCCCAGCCTTGTCATCATCTGCGCCCGTCACGGTTACTGGCGGAGCAGCAGGCTTCTTCGCGGGTTGAAGGGGCTTGACGGGGGGAGGTCCAACAGTCGCGCCAGCAGCACCAGGGGCGGGATCCGTGGCAGGCTGAGACGTGGCAGGTGCAGACTTAGCAGGGACCATATTCGGCCTCGGGCCAGAAGGCAAGCCTTGCTTGGGTCTCTCTGATTCTTCGCTATCCTTCTTCTGCTGCTCGGTCTCTCTGTCCTGCTCCTGTCCGTTCTGATTGATCCTAGCCAACGAGTCCTTCCGCTGAGGCACCCGGTCCTGCTGAAGCCCGGGGGGCTGCCTCGCAGAGTCGGGCCCATGGGCTTTGACGCGTGCGCGGAGGTCCGCAGATGAGGGGGTATGATCGGGCACGGCAGGCTTACCGGATGGTGCGGGTGGCGCAGGGCGATTGGCTGTAAGCAAGGGTCGAGGAGGTGCTGGCCTGGAAGGTTGGAGTGATCCTGCACCTGGAGGGAGGCATCACCGTCAGTCGTGGAGATAATCATCCACGGAGCTGCCGCGTACCATTAAGCATCCCATTTTCATTCGTGAGACCGGCCGGAGCCGTCTCTTGTCGCTTCGCGGATGGCCGGGTATCGGGGATGGGCGAGCCAATCTTGCTAATTCCGGCAAGGCCTGTGCCTGCGTTGAATCGGGGGGTAGAGGTATCCGCGGAGTAGGGAGAGAGTGTTGATGAGGTATAAGTGGATCCGACGAGCGTTGACCCTGACGCCGACATGGACATGAGGCCCTGTTCTTCCATCTCGCGCTTTTTGTGGTCGGTATAGAATTCGAGGACGTCCAATACCGCCTGGGGATCTTTCTGGTAATCCTCCCGCGTGATGGCCGACTTTGTGAGCAGCTTGCTCCATTGCTCGGGCATACCCTACGGCAACACTATAGCGACACTCCGGATCAAGAAGACTCCATGCCACTCACAGTGAAGGCTCCCGAGGTGGGATCGAAACCGACGTGCACCTTGTGTACGAAGTTCGTAGGATTGCTCACTCCCATAAGCGGGCTGCGGGAGTAGATATCATCCTGCCACCCATAAAGCTCTTCGTCGCTCTTGAGAGCAAAGTAATACCGCTTCCCAGTCGTCTCCAGCAGCAGGCAGTACGGCTTCAAATCTATCCGCTCGATATTAGAGATGTCTCGGAGGTTGATGACACTTTGTTGAGGCATGGACTATACATAGTCAGTATTTCAGCGATAAGCACGAACAAGGTGCGAATCATGTGAAACAGCTATCTACTGAATATAGCGGTAGGAACGATACGAGCCTGACAGCTGAGGGGACAACATCACTCTCAGCAGACAGGCTTCCGGATCTGTTTCCGCTGGCCGATCTCAGGATGTCCGTGCCATTCCCAAAACACCTCAATCTGCGAGATTCTCTACGAAACGATCAGGTGTCTGGAGGGTGGCAACGGTATCGACCACGGCGATTCCGATCATTCAGTGTATACACATTACTTGCGAACTCACCTCGTTCTTATGGATTGACAGCGTCTGCTCCTTTAACACCAACCATTTCTCTCGCCAAAGCCAGCTTGCAAAGCCATCCTCCTTCACATTTACGTATCCGCTCCGGACGACCTGGCTCGACATGAAGGCTTCCGAGTTCCTGTTTGGGGATCCGCCAATACCGGTATACGACGCCGCGTACGATGAATTCGATGACGGTGAGTAAGCCACCGGAGATCCCGTAAAGCTAGTGTCTGTTCCACGCCGCTGCGGTGCCTGGGGCGCTGGTCGACTTGGGGTAAGCGACAAGGCCGATACTTGATTAAACGACATTGCAGGGACTAGACAGCGAAGCAAAGGTAATTACAGCAGATAGCCCTCAGACAGCCGGAGACGGCGACGGCGGAGACAGATTCAGTCCTTTCAGAAAAGCGGTGCGGCCGGACCTATTGCCTGCTGACAAAGACGTTACTGAGAGTGGTGCGAGTGTTGTTCGTCGTCGTCGAGCGTAATGAGCCAGGAAGGAGTGGAGGGTCGTGACTGTCGTCCTCGACGTTGAGCGCAACGACGACCGGATAACGAAAGGGAGATGTGAGCGCGGCGGCTAAACGCTTTGTTGGGCAGAGACACCGTTTCGGATCTATCCGATCAACCACAGCCCTCAAGAAAACATATCGTCAAGGTAACTTCCTTCGATGCTTTATGTCGTTTCATTATGGAAAGTATGTCGTAGTGAACATGTTGTCTTGCGGACTGAGGAGGTCAACGAATTCGAAGCTCTCATAGCTCAAACATACGGCGATTGCACGCAACAGGGCCTCACCAAGGCGAATCTCACCAAAGGCAGAATGGCTATAAAATCATGTCGACCGAAAATAGGGGATTACACGAAAGCATGTCAGAAAGGTGCGGACATTACAGTGCTTCTGAAATTTCCAGTGCAGCGACAGCAACAAAATTGGTGCTGTCTAACTTAAGTGCCGGATCAATCAGCAGGGCATGGTATGGGTGTTCATATCCTCGATTCTATAGAGGTAGGTTTGATGGTCAGTTTCTACGACAGAACGAAGCAGGCAGAAGGCGTATTTTCGTCTGATGAGGAGAAGATATCGCTATGGCTTCCCAGCCATGGATCGTCTACGGCCCAGGCCGTCGGTGAGCACGATGTCTCATGGGCAATCATCGCGGTGTCTGTGATGTCCAAGCAACATCAACATCCCTGGTAAACCGCTCGCGAAATCGTAAGAAATCGTACATACAATCACTCTCGTCTTGAGTGCGCATCTCAAGGATACGTGTCGTCCACGGTCATCTCCAGGTCCTTCTCCTTGGCGTCCACGCTATCACCCGCCGCGGGCCCGAACGTACCAAACACATCCTTTTCATCCACTTCTCCGACGCCAGGGGGCGGCCACACTGTATTGAGGACCATCCATGCTGAACCGCTGATGAAGAAGCTGAGGAGCCACGACATATAGTAGACATGCCTGTAGCACCATGTCAGCGCAAGACATGAAAGCGGCAGCAGGAATGGTGTAACATACGTCCATCCTGCGTTGACTTGCACTGATGCCGGCGTGACAGAAGCTGCGAAACCTGGCATACTTGGGAAGACGCCCTTAGGAGACGAATCAGTATTCACCTCGAGTGCCGTCTCAATGGACACTCACTAGGACCCACGCGATGGGTGCCCGCCAATTCAAGCCGTGCCAGAACCTATTGCGACAATCGCAAGTGACCCTTCCGAACTTGGGAGTGATAACTTACCAATAGTCACTTGACGGATTGGGCAAATACAGATGGGACAGTTTCAATCGGCGGCTCCGTAGGATATGATAATCCGTCTGAGACTTGTCAGGCCAGCACTTCGCCCGGACCTTGCAGTACTTACCACCATGATTCCGGTCAGGGGACCGAGGAACACCGCGTACGCCGATATAGCGGAGATGAATGAGTTCGCAGTCTACGCACATCGCAGTCAGGTAAGGAGTAAAGAGTCTATCCTAGCTGATCTTACGAACGTTTAAAATCCTCCACGGATTGATGCAAATTCCGATGATAGCAATGATGAATGATCCCCGACGTATGTTGAGGAACCTGTAAGCCGTTGACCAGACCTAAACAGGCGAAAGGTTTAAGTAGAGAGATGCGAACCTGGGCAACAGAGCTGCTAGGTCCATCCCGCCCACGACGCCACAAGCGACCACCTTAAATCGAGATTAGACCCATTCGAATTAGTCGCGTGCTACTCACGTTGACGCAGATCTGCGACAAGAAAAACGCAAAAGCCGCAAAGAACACAGCGGCTCGCGTGCCGTTCCCTCCATGCTCCTGTATGGCCTGTAATAAATCGTACAGTCTCCTGCCATCACATGGTTCTGTCATACTTCAATCCCCTTGAATGACAGATCGTGTCTCACCATAGCAAAGGTTCCTCAGGAAAGAGCCCTCGCGCACAGGAAGTCGTTATGAGGCCCAGTAGGTTCGAGCCGAACAAGCACACGGGGATGATGAAGATCTGGCCCCACATTTGATCGCCAGGGTTAACCGCGTACCGAGAAAAATCTTAGGCAATGGATAACTGTCTACATCACCATGTATATGGAAGACGACCGGACGCAGCTTACCGCTTTGGTACAAAATCTACATGCATCACTCTTGAAGTCAGCGTTCAGATCGAAGGTGACTGGATTGACACAACACTTACCCCGCCTGCCCACCCGCCAATCCCGCTGGTGATAATCCTCATCATCGCCCAACTAAGCTTTGAGCCTTCAAGCTTCGGCACGCCGTATATCTCTTGGGGCTCTGACCATAACGGGCCGGCATTTCCCTGCTTCGCCAATGCCCAGATGAATATTGCTAGGGCGGCTATCGTCACGATGACTGAGGAGACAATCGCGGGGATGCGGTAGCTGTCAGAGAACGTCGATAAATTGTGAAGGCTGGATTAGTGGGGACGTACTGTTCGGGTTTTACGAGGAAGATAGGTAGAGAGATAGTCCAAAATATGATGAAAGAGACTATTCGAATATTATTAGTGTATGAACCACGTGCCGGTAGTGGTGAGCGTACTGAATTCGTTAGTCTTCATGGCAGCCCCCGGTCCGAACGTGTTCTTCATGTGGTAGAAGCTCGCTACAAAGCGAAGAGCGATCAGTGGGGCGCATCATGAGGGGCGCAGAGCATCGACGTACGCCATATCGTACCGATCATGATTTTGACCATCTGGCCGCCGTACCAGCCTTCGACGCCGTACCAACAGCATGAAAGGATAATGCGGTTGAGTAGTGCGAACCATGATCCTCGTCTACAGTCCCCCGCAGTTAGCTGTCACTCCACAACAGCTTATGTTAGGTGCTTACAAGCCCCATGCTGAGCGGTTGATGACAGCCTGTAGTCCATGAATACGAGGCGACATAGTATCATCGGGGAGAAGCACTGACAAAGGGTACGTGCCATTTTCCGCCTCCGTGGCCGTTGATCACCAACGCGAGCGTTATTCTATCATGGAACAATTCTTCGGGTTAGGCGGCTCACTTGCAGGACGTACCACTTACATCAGAGTACTTATAAGGTTCACTGCGAGATCCTCGGGGGTCAGCAGTTATTGGACTTCTACATAGATTGGTGCATACCTGCGATGGCTTGTCCGACAGTAAGACCAATAGCCACTGTGATTGTCCAGTAACCCGATCATCATTGTATGAATCAGAGGTATGTATCGCAAGAACATCATACGTACGTCCGGCTGAGGCGCCCGACCACTCGGCAATGTTGATCGCTTCAAGGATCAGTACCATACGTATTTCGACATATTCGAGGACATACTTACCCGTGGATAGCCAGAAGAAAGCAAACACTTTCTTCGACCACGTCCGACGCGCCGGCGGCAGAGGCAGTATGTCTGCGTTCTGGTACGGAGACGCGTCCGAGGAGACCTAGGGAATTGATCCGGCGGTACCAGATCATCTTAGATGTTGGCCACCCGACACTGATCCTCAGAGAGAAAAAAAATATAAGTACCTCGATTGCTCGGATGATTGCGCTCAGCATCCTGGGCCTGACTCGTACCAATGTAACACGCTCAGGTTCGGAGGGGTCAGGAGGATCGCCCACCGTACAAACCCACAAACTGTCCCGACGTATAGATTATTTTCCGGATGATTTGATCCAAGTGGGAAAAGTGTGGGAACGGAGCTTCACGATCATCCGTAGTGACCAAGCCTTACAGATGTTCCCACGTTGGACAGTCTCTTTCGTTCCAATGCGTCCAACGTTGGCCGTTCTGTCTGGGCGTTCAGCGTGGAAAGGTATGTCTACCACGCCTTTTTGCTAATCATTGATAAGTGTTTCTGACCTGCTCTCCAGGACCGTACTTTGTCGCCTTCCCGAACCTCCGGGAGGCGTTGCAGAACAATGTGCCCATAAAGACACAAGCAAGGTCATGCACCATCCTCCCAAACTTTGTTGGGTGCGTTTGTCGTACACTCTTCTGTCTTAGTCCTCAGACTTAGCGTTCGTCTCTCGGTGAACGCAGGCTTAGGTTCATGGTATACAACGGCAAAGACTACCTCCCGGTTCAGGTCACCCAGGACATGGTAGGACACAAGCTGGGGGAGTTCTCCCATACGAAGAAGAAGTTCACCTACAAGTGTGTAATCAATGTCCTTGCGTACAAACTGATATTCATGGCCTTCGCTCTCCAGGATGTCGAAGAACAAGTAGTTCTGTACCTTGGGTGTCGCATACCGACCCTGTGCTTCCACGGAATTGTCATGCTGTGTTTCTCGAGAGCGATACACATTCCGCTTTTCACAGACGAAATACAGTTCACCCCCAATGGTGTGGGACTCATGCTCACCGGGGCGCGCTCCAGCGTTAATTGGAGGCGTCTCCGTGGGTCGGTTGTAGACACTTCGCCGAGTCATTTAAATTCCTGTATATACGAGCCTGTCAGTATATTCATGCATACTCGTTGTTTGTGCACATTCCCCACGGAGGGTTATCGGGAATAGCCGACAAGGATTTGCACTCTGAAATGACTGACAAGGTCTTTGTCGAATCTTTATCCCTCTCAGCGAACATAGGCCCGGACTGGTGGGGGCGACCTCGCGAGCAACCCGTTCTCATCAGCGTCTATCTGACCCTCCAACCCTCGTCTTTGGACCGTACAGCCGAAACGGACGATGTAAGCGATACGGTGAACTACGGAACACTCAGCAAGACGGTGACACAGCGTGTGGAGGAAGAGTTCAAGGATCAGCTCCGCAGTCATGGATTGCATGGCGTGGCAGCTGCTGTGACACACACAGCGACTGCGCTCGCGGGTGGCAAGGCATTGGAAGTGAAGGTCCGGGTCGAAGCTCCCAAAGCTATCCTGTTAGCAGACGGACTCGCCTTGGAGACTGTGTGGGAGGTCGATGCCGAGAGCGGTCAGTCAGACTTAGGATCGCTGAAGAAGAGGAAAGTTCTCGTCAAGGACCTGATCTTGGCTGTTATCATCGGAGTGAATCCGCCGGAACGGGAAGCTAAACAGAGGGTCATCCTCAATCTGGAGTTTGAAGAAGCCCTGGGCACAGGCGCTTTCGGGGACTACCCCAGTGTAATAACGGATATAACTCAGGTACGTCGAAGTCAGAATTCGTAGACTGAATTTTCACTCGCTCGTGGCTATTGCCAGGCCTTGGAAGCCTCGTCCTATCTCACACTGGAGAAGTTCGCGATGCAAGCAGTCCGGATTGGTTGTTTATCATCCGAGCATGTCCACTCGGTAACGGCCAGAGCGCAGAAACCGAGTGCCATCTCCTTCGCCCACTCGTCCGGCGTGGAAATCACTCGACCCAGGGCACATTTCCTTCGTTAGGACGTACATTGCGGCCGGGCGTGTATTCCTGGTAGTAAAACCGATGTGCCGACTGACCGCCCAGTATCGTATGAGGTAGGCGAGCGCGGTAAACAAGATCAGGTACGTCTCGTATAGAGGGACCGTGCAGAGCAGACGCTAAACCGTAAGGACTATTCAGTTTTCTGGCGGGTTCGATGATGCCATGAACATTGTTACAAGAGAGGTTCATGAAGATGTACAGTATACGTATAACCCATCGACCTTTTTCCACCGCGTGCCAAGAGCCTATTCTGCGCGTTCATCGCACGATGACTATGTACTTATCACCAAACATACCTATTGACGTCGTCCACGAGGCCCGGGCTCGGAGCCCTCTGGAGTACCTTCCTAGTGTCTTTTGTGGCTCATTATGACACCGTCTCCAGCCCTCCACCGGTTTACGGGCCACTGATGGCAAGATGAACAGCTACCCTGAATCCCGAGGTAACGGTGATATGTAAGTCAGTAATTCCTACGCGGTTCACGTGGATCTCCTCGGGCATGGTATAAGAACAGATAAGAACGCCTGGCCTTTTAGCAGCCCAACGTCGAACGCGTCACGTTTCGCTGTTCGTCTACAAGAGTAGGTATCAGTAAGCGCGAATCGCTGCTCTTTTGTTTGCTACGTAGTTCATTCCGTTTATTCACAATTCAGACTAGCTACCGGCTATGAATCAGATCTCGTCGATCTTGTCCAGAGCAGTCTGCTCTGTGCAAGATCTACCAAGAGGGAATATACTGTGGATAACCGCCATTATCGCACTTGGCTTCGCTATCGTGCATGGTCTAAGGCAGTCTCCGAAACTTCCTCCCCCACCCGATCCTCCTACGAAGCTATTGTCAGGCAATGTTCACCAGATTCCGCAAACAGATCCATGGAAGACCTACGCTGAATGGTCAAAGTTGTATAGTAAGCACTGAATACTTCGATTTGCTGCGAACTGACACATACAACTCATGTCCTGCAATAGAAAGCCCTCTGGCGTCATTTCGAGTCTACAATCGTCGGACCATTGTGTTGAACACCTATAAAGCTGCGGCGGATCTTATGGATGCGCGGTCTAGCATCTACTCCCACAGGCCTTTCTCGTGGTTCTCCGACGAATTGGTAGAACGGAAAAACAGCATTTTCCGGATGTCTAGCCAAAATCCCCGTTTCAAAACGTACCGTCGCATATTGAACAGCGGTCTCAATCCACGGGCTGTTCGAGCCGACAGAGAACTGCAGGAGCGTGAAGTCCGCGTGCTCCTTCGAGGACTGGCGAAGTCGCCACAAGACTTCCACGCTCAGCTCCGGAGGTAACCTAATCCCGCTGCGTGTCCATGGACATCGCTGATTCGCGCACTTGTAGAAATGCTGGAGCAGTAGTGCTCAACCTTGCGTACGGCTGGCAGGTCGAAGAGAACGATGATTATCTCGTGTCTCTTGCGGAGGATGCCTTCGAGATCTCAGGCAGGATCCAGAAACCAGGGAGGTGGCTTGTTGATGTCATACCCATTTGTAAGACTGTTTCCTCAGCCCTATGTTACGCTACTGAATTGTGTTGCACAGTACGTTTCATCCCATCGTGGTTCCCGGGAGCAGGTTTTCAGCGTGAGGCGGCGGAGGCTCGGAAACAGCTCAGTAAAATTGACTCTGTCCACCATACGTGGGCTAAAAAGCAAATCGTACGTATGTCCTGTCTGGCACGGCTACTGCGGGACAGAAAGCTGACTCAGAACCAACAAGCAGGCGATTACACTCCATCATTCACGTCACAGCACCTAAAGCCGGAAGATGGTCGTCTGCCCACCGCGGAAGAGGAAGACATACTCAAGTGGTGCACTGCAGCCTTCTACGCTGGAGGCGCGGATACGGTGGGTGCAAACCTGTACACATCTTCTCCTTCAATGCAGTAACTATCTTCCTCACCCTGTGCAGACGGTAGCTGTAATGACCACTTTCATCCTTCGCATCACCCTTCACCGTGATATACAAAAGAGAGCACAGAATGAAATCGATGACGTGGTAGGCAGAGATAGATTTGCTGTTCCCGAGGACGAAAAACGGCTTCCGCACGTTGCAGCACTAATCCAGGAAGTCCTCCGTATTGCGCCCGTCGCACCATTTGGTACGCTACATGCTTTTGGGTGGGTCCTGACGCCTCCTAGCTAACATGCTGGAAAGGGCTTCCACACCGTGTCACGCAAGACGACGAGTATCTCGGATACCGTATCGCGAAAGGGGCAACCGTAATTGCCAACATATGGTAAGCACCCTTTGAATACGGATTCATAGAGACTCACTGTCCTGGGAAGAGCGATAATGCACGACCCCGAGCTATATCCAGATCCGATGATCTTTAATCCAGAACGCTTTATGGAGCCGCTAAATCAAATGAATCCGCGCAAAGTAGCTTTTGGTTCCGGAAGGAGGGTCTGTCCTGGTGCGTTTATTGGCATAATACTTCCATCGCCGAGCCTAATATTTGGAAGGCGCTCACTTCGCAGAAACCGCTTTGTTTCTCAATGTTAGCAGTATTCTCTCGGCCTTTACGATTCTCAAGCCATTGAACGAGAAAGGACAAGAAGTAGACCCGATCATCGAGTACACAAGTGGAGTCACGAGGTGAGCGAGCGGCTTATGCTGTTATGGTCTGTTCGCAATTGACGCTGCGATAGCCATGCTAAACCGTTCAATTGTCGCATTGTTCCTCGTGACTTGCCGTTATTGTCACATATCTTGGAGTTCTGATTGTTATTCCTTCTCTCAATGCCTCATGAAGACCCTCGAAGATAACGCCTACCAGTCATACAACCACCCATGGCTCCGTTAAGTACTGATCGCTCATTATATTATAGAGCTTCGTACGTATCGCTTTCCGTATGCCCTGATCACTTATCCCGCCTTCAATATTTGTCAGCCTGAACCCGTGGTCGATTTTCAACTGGGCAACAATAACTCACTCAGTTCACTTGTCCGGAGTTCGCTGATTGGTCATTTTCCTTACTTGCAACCAGTATTTACTTGAAGCATGACGACCGTTGATATACTGGAATCAGGCTCAGGGATGTCCTTCCTCAATCTAAGCCCTGTTGTTAATAATCCCTTCCCCGGCTGCTCCGGGAGCCTCAATTCATCAAGGGCAGATCCTACGCATCACGGACTGCTGCAGTGTGCCGCCTACATGCCCGACCCAACCGAGATCTCCTTATAGGAAGTCGCCACCCCGGTAAGGTCTTCTAGGAGTTTCACGTGGGTACTCTTGCCTTAAAACGCTCGGCGGTTACACATGTTGGGAAGTCTAACTGCTCACATTTGGTTATCGCCTCCAGAAATCTCGCGTCATAGTCGCGCGTTACAGACGAGTTCCGATAAGCCCAACTCGTTAGCATTTTGCCTCCCTGCGCAGAAATTCGTTTTATCTGCCTTTCTCTATCCCTGTCAGCACCCCGTCATGGTCCATATCACGTCAGTACTGTGCAGATTTGTGGACTTGACTCGAAATGTAGCGGCAGAGAACATACTATGGATCATCCTCGCGGCTTCTGTTGGAACCATTTACTTCCTTCGGTTCTCTCCCAAACTTCCTCTCCCGCCCAGTCCTCCTACGAATGTATTATCAGGCAATGTTCGCCAATTGCCGCAGACAGAGCCATGGAAAGCCTTCGGGGAATGGTCGAAGTTGTATGGTAGGCGCAAAGCTCCCGGGTCTCCCGTAATCTAAAACGCACCTTTCCTTCTTACCACAGGGAGCCCTCTGGTGTCATTTCGGGTCTATAATCGCCGCACTGTTGTGCTCAATACTTACAAAGCTGCCGCGGATCTTCTGGATGTGCGGTCGAGCATCTACTCTGACAGACCTTTTACATGGTTCTATGGCGAACTGGTTGGACGGAAGATGAACGTTTTCCAGATGTCCAGCCAGAACCCCCGTTTTAAAGTGTACCGCCGTACACTGAACAGCGGTCTTAATCCACGGGCCGTCCAAGGATACAGAGATTTGCAGGTGCAGGAGGTCCATGTGCTTCTTCGAGGTTTAGCTACGTCACCTGAAGACTTCCTGGCTCATCTCCGCAGGTATTGTAACTTTGCTATATATTCTCAAGGCTTTGCTAATCCATGAGCAAAGAAATGCTGGAGCAGTAGTTCTGAAGCTGGCATACGGCTGGAACGTCGAGGGGAATGACGATTATTTTGTCTCTCTCATGGAGGAGGCCTTTCAAATATCAGCTCAAATTGTGAAGCCCGGCGGATGGCTTGTTGACGCCATACCCATATGTTTGAGTGTCTGTCAGGGCTGTCCGTCACAGTGCTGATAAGTTCTGCATAGTGCGATTCGTTCCATCTTGGTTCCCAGGAGCACGTTTCAAGCGTCAGGCCGCGGAGGCTCGGGAACACTTCAGCAAAATCGACACCGTGCCTCACATGTGGGCCAAGAACCAAATTGTACGTGTGTATCGCTCAACGTGGCATAGGTCTGACAGTGGCTTAGGAATCGGGCCACTACACAGAATCGTTCACTTCACAGCATCTCAAAAGGGAGGACGGCCGTCCGCTCACTTCCGACGAAGACGACATTGTCAAGTGGTGCACTGCAGCCTTATACGCGGGAGGGGCGGACACAGTAGGCTTAGATCTGCTTCATACTATTGCTCCAGATTTTTCAAGACAGTTTGCCATCCTTTTCAGACGGTCGCTGCGATGACAACTTTCATACTCCGCATGGCCCTTCATCCCCACGTGCAGCAAAGAGCGCAAAAGGAAGTTGACGACATCATTGGCAAAGATCGGCTTCCCGAGCCTGCGGACGAGAAGAGGCTTCCGTATGTTACAGCACTCATTAAAGAAATACTCCGTATTTCCCCTGTCGCACCCCTTGGTAAGGTTCGAAACATTAAGTTGCGCCGCCTTTGAGTCGACGTGATGTGCAGGGCTTACGCATCGTGTGACCCAAGATGACGAGTACCTCGGATATTGTATACCCAAGGGAGCCTCTATCGTCCCGAACATATGGTGAGCTCCCTTGGAGCGAGTCCTGCTTTGACTCACCGTTGTGGGAAGGGCAATCATGCACAATCCTGAGCTATATCCGGATCCAATGGTGTTTAGCCCCGACCGCTTCATGGAACCGCTAAATCAAATGGATCCTCGCAAGGTTGCCTTTGGTTTCGGGAGAAGAGTCTGTCCCGGTGCGTTTATTAACACAGTTTCTGTCGATGGATCTAAGCCCTCCCAGGCGCCTACTTCGCGGAGACCGCTATGTTCCTCAACATTTGTAGCATTCTGTCAGTATTCACGATACTTAAGCCATTAAATGAGAACGGGAAAGAAGTAGACCCACTGGTTGAGTACACCACCGGGATCACTAGGTGAGCTCATGGAGCTGATAACGTCTGTTGGTAACTGATGTCAGCATTAGCCATGCAAAACCTTTCCATTGCCGGATCGTTCCTCGCGCCGCCTCGCCATTATTGTCGCATGTGATAAACTCGTGACTACCTTTCCTTCTGATGATGTCGCCTGGTGGACAGTAAGGAAGCCTGACTGTAGTCGACCAATATATGCATGTCGCGTACGGGGCCACTCTAGTACTGGCAGTACATCCTAACCTCTAACCCCATTTCCATTCCGGATGGTTGCCACTCGACAACTTTGCCGAATAGCCATCAGCGTGCGATTTCTAAGCTCGATGTGTTATCCGTAGCCTTATCCCTTTCAACTGTCATACTACTTATGAGTGAGCCTGTCGCTGTTAGCGATCGTGATTGGCCATGAATTATTCCAGCCGAACATAGGGCAGCGGACCGATGCGATCTATCACCTGCGAAGTGCTGTGTCTTTGGGAACCGATGCGGTCAGACGCGGTTTGAATGGACGACATGGGATTTGCGTTGGATTCCTACAAGCTGATGCATTATTAGGTCGGAGCCTTGGACTGCACCGATGGGCAGCGTTTTCCGGGCGTCTACTCCAGATGCAGACCAGAAATAAAACGATTCCTGAGTCTCTAATGCGCCGCACTCTTTCACCCCACTGGCACGACCTCGGCCTCTCCTAGCAGGTGCGCAGCCCAGCATCCGGAGCTACTCAGGCTGTGTAGCTGGAATACCAAACGCCAGACTACGGTCTACTTCTTCCAGCTGGTTGTCTAATCGGAGGGCGACCAGATAGGCGACGTTCCAGGGCCCGGGTATACGGTGATACTGATACGGAATAAAAGGTGGGGGTCGTCGTGAGGATAACACCCACCGGGAAGAGGAGCGCATGCGGATCGATGAAGTCAACTTATGCTTTGCGCCCAAGGCGGACAGTATGTGTTCCCCCATGTGGGAGTGGGGAATATAATTGCGAGCGTGTTGCGAGTTCTATATTATCTTGACAGCTCAGTTATAGTTGAGGGAACCTCATAAATGACGGTGCCTCACGAAAATAGGGCGGGCTGCAGACAGAAATGAGAATATGACATGGAACTGGCGTATTATGAGTCGAGGCATGTGTTACTTCTGCATTACCTACAGACGCCCAGATGAGCCATACATGATAGCACCTGGAGGCTAGAGAGCGGATTTCAATGCGAGTCAAAGGCCTGGAAAGTGGAGTTACCTTTATATCATCAGAAGACGTACGGTATGATCCTATACGGCACCTGCTTGGCCCACTGGTCCCACTGTTCACCAAACTGCTGTTTCAACGCCCTGTCCTCATGCCGAGCCCTCCTTGCAAAGAAAATAACCAACAAGGCTGCGTGTATCGCTGATCCTCCGATGATAGCCTTCCCCATTCCGGTCTCTAGTAACCCTGATTCGCGCAACAGCGACCCCCGTCCGAACAAGCAAGCGTGGATACCCGTGCATGCTACGATGCTCCCGAGATAACTTGGGTGGCGCACAACGGAGTAGGGACCACTCGTGACTAGCTGATGCTCTTTCCGGATCGACAGTTCGAACGTGAAGAATCTCCCGAGGGTTCGGTAGCATAGGTGGCGCCAGTAGGCACCGACAGTGGTTATGAGTGTTCCAATCAGCAAGCTCGGAGTCACTTGTAGGGAAACTGCAGAATTTCCGGCGGGAAGCAAGGTAGAGATGATGCGGTCGGTCAACGGTGGGTACGGGAAGTTATGTGCAACTATCACAGCCGCTTCGCATAAACTGCCTGCCCAAATCAAATACTTCAGGTGCATGAAGGTGGTGAGCAGAGCAAGGAGCAAGAGAAAGATTGAGCATGCCTTGATTGCCGCTGGCCATGCCAATACCAGACGTCCTAGTGTAGTTTCCGCGGTACGATAAGCACGGCGCTCTTCGTCAGAGACAGGGGGATTGGGGGGCGTAAGCGCATATCCCATGCCATAGGCGGCGACCAGCGTTAACGGGGCTCTTACTAGAGACATCCCGGCGGAAGAATACTTGGACTTCTGAACGAGGCTATCAGTTATATATGCGTATGTGTCTGACTTTCCGTCCGAGGCTGCTGATCTTTGCAGAATGCGCGGCTTTGGCGCCCCGTCAGGCACGATGCAGGGTCTGCTGAAGCCTTACGTGAGACCATCCCGGACGCCGAAGTGCGAGTCTCCTTTCGAAGCAGCATTTCCTCCAGCACTTGACACCGAAAGGCAGGGCTGAGACAAAAATAGCGCGATATGAGAGACTTATTCCATCTGGGACCGTGGATCCAGCGTACGAGTTCGCATGAAGACCGCGGCAGCAACAATTCGTAACAAGTGTGGCCCGGCTGATGACAGTCTCTGAGTTGTGGCTGAATGAGACTGAGAATAGATCTACCCAGAGCGGAACGACTGGCATCCACACGCCAAGGCACCAGATGTCTCCGCTTGTGGAATGTGTCCTCACAAGCGCAGGGGTGCTGTACCCGGAAGCAAGGCATGTAACGTGATCGATACTGGTGTACCGTAATTGAGAAATCGTAGCGCCGTATCGTTCCAGTCATAGGTATGGGTCCTACAAGTTACGTCCTGTCCCATTTGGCTAAAGCGTCGTGTAGAAATTACTAGTTCAGATACTAGAGATATTCGTCAAATGACGGGAAATGAAACATGACGTGAACTGACCATTCGAGATTCAAAATATGTAGGGAATGATCCTGTACCGTACTTTCTCCGCCCAGCGACTCCACGTTTCCCCAAACTGCTGCTTCAACGTCCTATCCTCGACGAGAGATCGGCTCACAATCATTACACCCATAAATGCGGCATTTGCGGCGGCGACTCCCACCACTATCCTGCCGTATCTGCTATTGAGAAGCCCTGAGGCCCACAATAGCGAGCCACGGCCAAAGACACAGAGTTGTATCCCTGGATACAATATAGCAGCGCCTGCATAGCTGGGATGGCGTACGACCGAATAAGGGCCTGTCGTGACTAGCTGATGGTCTTTCCTGATCGACAACTGGTGTGTGAAAAATTTTCCGAGCGCCCGATAGCATGAGCAACGAATGTAAGCGCCGACCGTGGTCATAATTGTGCCCAGCAGAAAGACTGGGGTGACTTGAAGCGCCGCGCCAGGCAACCCAGCTGGGAGCAAGGCGGAGAGGATGTGATCGGTTATAGGTCGGTAGGGGAAGTTATATGCCAGAATCGCAGACGACTCGCACACGGCTCCCATCCAGATGACAGCCTTTGAAGAAGATGTAGTATGTTAGAGAGGGCTCCAGTGATAGCTGAAGGAGGCGTACCCTCTGTACCCGTGGCCATACCTCAGTGACAAGTCCTGTTTCCCAAGACTCATAAACCCGGCGCTCCTCCTCAGAAGGTGCTGGATGCAGCGGTGTGGCAGCAACATTGAAGTTGTATGCCACAAACAGTGTCAACGGTACTCTCACCAGAGACATCTTGGGACGCGGTTGTTGACGCCCCGACGACCCATGTATATGAACCTTACGGGAGACTCTGACAATATCCTAGTTCGGATTGTGCTTGATAGTTATCTTGGACGCCAGGCACTACGGCAAGTCCACGATTAGCTGGTATCCAGATTCTCATCGGCCGAATACTTACAAGCCTTAGCGTACCTTCACCTCGACTCGGAGCATGGGACCGGATAGCTCCCGCGATGTCAAGCAGGTGAAGATGTAGTATCTCAGCAGGCATATCCGGAAGTACTTGCACTAAGTAATACCTGGCGACAGCAGGCCTCGACCTTTGTCTGGCGTATGGGCTTTCCACGATTGCACGACGAGTTTGCTGAATGTCGAAGACGTGGTATATTGGGTGTCGATATCGCAGGCGCGTTGTGCAAAAAGTGTGACCCTTCGAATTCGTACTAGCAATGCATATTCTTAGTGGTTTTGTCAGAGCTGAGATTGGCAGATCGGAACTGGCAAGTTGCAACGCCGCGGCGTTGACTTTTGTATAAGCTTCTGTAGACGCTGGCCTGTAACGCTTAGACCCCGTTCATCTTCAAATACATATCTCGTTTTCCCAATATATCTGATTGACTGGAGAAGAATAGGACGAGGGCAAGCATCATCTAGAAACACAATATGGATGCATGAGCCCCCGCATCCAAACTTCGTGGAAACCTTGGGAATATAACAGCACGGGGAGCCGAAGTGGCATGGGGAGGTAAAAGTCCAGGCGCATTTGGGCTCTCGGTCAGCGAGGGAAGAGAACTCGGAATGGGCGCCAGAAAATTGCTTTGGGAGCGAGGTACGCTGCGTACGCAAGCATCCTTCGGATTCCTTCCTGAGTACCTATCTAAATGAGTTGTGATAAGCAGATACGTGGGTTGCAGGGGTTCAAGCGGTGGGTGCGCAAACTTACGTCGAAGAGACCAGACTTCATCAAGGCGTGTCATACGAAAGCGCATAGCATCAGGAAAAGCCCGAAGCCCTTTTCGCCTATGGCGCCTGATGAGTCTGGCAAGCTCGGCTAAATTAACTACAAACGTCTGTAGTGGGTATTACCTCGAAATTTGTAGTGACGATAAGTAAAATTTCGTAGTTGGACTACAAACGTGGCGTATTGAAGGGTGCAGGAGCCAATCAGAGATCGTGAATCGAAATCAACGCGGCTCCCACGCTTACAAACGTCTAACGAGCCTGAAATAGCCTGAGGAAAATGTGTCCTCAGACAACAAGGGAGCACCGGTGGTGTAATGCATTCTTGTTGCGGAGATCGATCCGCTACGCATGCCCGGGGAGAAATACAAAGGTCTTAGCTATGGGACATCAACTTGAGGTATTGGTGTCATATACAGATTACAGCTGCAACGAACATTGTGGTCTGTCACTAAGCACATAACGTCTCTCATACATATGCGTAAATATACAGACCAGCCCGAAGACGAACGACGCACAGAATTAAGCTCAGAATACATACGGAATAATCCTGTAGCGCACTTTCTCGGCCCAACAATCCCACTGCTCACCGAATTGTTCCCTCATCACCTTGTCTTCCGAGAAGGATCTTCCTATGAGTAAGAAGCCCAGAGCAACTGTATGGAGTGCCGATGCTCCCATCAGAACACTCCCCACTTTAGTGTCTAAAATCCCCGACTCTCGCAGCAACGATCCGCGACCGAAGGCACAGAGGTTAATACCCGCGTATGCTATGCCGATTGCAAGATAGCTTGGGTGGCGGACGAAGGAATAGGGACCTTCCGTGACAAGCTTGTGTCCCTTCCGTACAGATAGCTCATAGGTGAACAACCGTCCGAGGGTTTTATAGCACCTATGGCGGAGGTAGGCACCGAGGGCGGTCAATAGGGTGCCTAGTAGGAAGGTCGGGGTTATTCGAAGCGACGCTGCGTAATGACCAGGCATAAGCAATGCTGAGAGTATGCGGTCGGTCAAGGGCGGGTGAGGGAAGTTATGCGCCAGGACGACGGCCGATTCGCATATCCCTCCAGCCCAGAAGACAGTCTGCGTAGGCCAGATATTGTCAGCATAGCTGATGACCATCATTCAAAGCATACCTTGAGGGCGAATGGCCATACTAAGAGTGCACGGCCCAGTTTGACTTCGGAGGAGGCGTACCCCCGGCGTTCTTCCTCAGATATTGGCGGGTTCGGAGGCGTACCGACGCATGACATGCTATAGGATGCGAGGAGGGCGAGAGGAGCTCTTACAAGAGACATCTTGGAAGGCCCAGGAGGAGCAGCAGAGGATGGGGTGACTTAACCGTCTTAAGGCTCAAGCCGAGAGAACTGACACGAGTTTATGTATCTCTCCCTGTGATGCACACAGAAGGAGCCTCAGTGACAGACGAAGCCACTGGCAATCAGGGTCTAGAGCACTACGCCATGAGGAACAAGTATGGAGAGCTACGCTAGCACTAGTGTTGCCTAAAGTTTGGATCCAAAGTCGGCATGATCACCCAGATGGCAGTCGTAGTACTAGTAGTACTGTGCGCAAAATTGGAAGCACCAGTGGCGCTTGCGCTCTAACAAGCTTGCGATTGTGATGCGTCACGGTCACGACTGTGCCAGATTACGCTTTGGCCCTTTGGCTGTCGCTAGCACCCTGAATAGTAAGGTACGTACCTCGCATTCTTTCGTACCTTCCCTACACAAAACAAGAACTGTAGCATGCCGGACAATGTCGTGCCATTCGAAAAAAGTCCGGCTGTGTTGCGAGCTCGACGGGATATCGAGCACCAGATCAAATCCGGATCGGACTTCTGGGGTGGCCTGCGACTCAAGACCCAGCTTAACACACTGGTTTCCGTTGCACGCCTGCCCGCGGAACTGTTGGCACTAATATTCAGAGCCTATATTGATCTGTACGTGCAGAAAACTACGTATCTGTACGACTTGCATTACCGGCGGGGGCGCCCGAAATCTGCGAAGTGCTACCAGTGGTTTGGGATCACGCATGTCTGCCGAGACTGGCGTGAGGTCGCGCTCGGGACTCCCTGGCTGTGGGTTGACATCACAATCACCCGCATAGAATGTGTGCAGCAGATGCTAGCCCGGTCCAAGAACGCGCCGTTGACCGTGCACGGTCATATCGATCGCTCAAGGGTGGAGGTACTCAAGCTGATTTGGCGGGAAGATCTACATCGTATCCGTGACCTCGATGTCGCTTTGTCGGATGAAATACTCGAGGAGCTTCCCATCGGGGATAGCAGAAATACGCCCATCTTCCGGTCTTTACGGTTAAGCACTGGCAAGCCTCAGTTGTGGGATGTGAATGATGATGCACTATCGTCACCTTTCATCTCAAGCCTCGCATCGGCATCCCTAGAAGAGGTGAATCTCTTGGGCTTCTCGCTGCAGTCCTTTCAAGTACTAGTACCCGTCTCAACTCTGATCACTCTAAGGTGGTGCACTGTCGAGAGGCCGGTGGAAGTAAGAGCTGTCCTCGCCCTTCTTCGGAATATGCCCCTGCTTCGCACACTGAAATTGCGTGGATTAACTGCTGCCTCACGAAGGGATATTACTTCCGGACCCGTGGACCTGCCACAGCTGCAGTGCCTGCATATCTGGAGCGCGGTTACGCCATGTGCAGAACTGTTGGCTCATCTTTCGTTGCCAGTAGGCCTCACGATGCACCTAGTCATCGAGAGATTCGATGGCTTGCACATGTGGGAATATTCCCGAATTATGGAGCCTGTTCTCGTTGCAATACACAATATCACATCTTCCGACCCCCTTCGTACCATATCAGTAACAAAATCTGAAATTCCACCACTCGGTTCCCCTCTATCAGGCTATGGGTATGCCTTCGATCTTAAAGCATGGACAACAGTCGTTGCACCTGAGTCCCACATCCCAAGCGCAGACCCTCGAATTCGTCTCACTCTCCAAAATGAACGATATCCTCAAAGAGAACTGGTAAAGGCCATTGTACCAGCTTTACCTCTGGACGAGGTGAATTATCTCCGGGTCGAAGAAGGGCTGGGTTATTTCCAGGCCTGGAAGGAGACTTTCAGGCAGCTGCGAAACATCAAGACCCTCCATGTATATGAAGTGGCAGCAGAATCTCTACCGGACTCCTTGTGCTTCAATGATAGTTTTGCTAACAAGCAGGCAATAAGGGACAGTCATACTGGCGTGGCGGACAATAGCGGCAGCGGCGATGCAGAGCCCGGGGGACAACTTTTCCCTTGCCTTGAGTATCTCAGACTCGAGCGGGTCATGTTCTTCGATGATTTCAAAGCGCCTACCCACCAAGACTTCATGCAAAAGCTGTTCATAGCTCTGAAGTCTAGGAGTGCGATGTTCCTACACCTGGATGTATGCGGAGGAATCAACTTCACGGGACGTGAAGCAGACCTGCTGAAGACGGTTGTACATGAGCTCACATGGGATGAAGTAGTGGAGATCGAACAACCTGACTCGGAGACCACTGCTAGCGACGGTGAAGAATATGAGGAAGAAAATGACAAATCAAGCTTTCACAGGGATTCCCAGACTGACGATGTGCACCATGCAAACCCCGACGATATGCCCTTTCGTGTCTACTAACATGATGACAACTTCGCCGTGCCGATGAGGTGAGTATTCCCATATTCACGATGACCTGTTACCCTACTTTACTGACAGGTGGTGAGATACGAGCAAGAACACTGCAGAAGAGGTCGAGCGGGACAGGAGCTGATAGCAGGGTATATATCGGGAATGATGAGATGGGGAGGCAAAATCAACTGTCGTCTGAACTTGGACTGCGACGATTCTTGGGGAGCGGGGATGACCATTTACCGAAACAGATGCATACTTTCCTTGACGCAGCGTCTCAGCGACTGTCGTCATTGCTCTCAAGCCGGCAAAAGCAGAATCATTAAATGTCTACCTATACAATAAATATACAATACGCGGAGGGCTCAAGAGAAACTCGGAAGCTTATCCCTGTTGTAGTTTGAGTTGCGTTTCCCGCATTTCTTGTTCCCAAGATTTTCGGAAATGTGCATCTTCTTTGAATCGCCGTTGGCAGTCGTCGCATCGAATGTAATACGCGGTCGATTTCTCTCCGTATCCAAGCAGAGTGCTACAGAACAATTAGTACACTGGATTGACGGATTGACCAGGGCACCTACAATTCAGGCAGGGTGGGACCAACAGCATCCATCTCGCCACTCGGTAAACAATCTTCACAAAAAGCCTGCGGACACGTCTGGCACCTGATATACACTCAGTCTATGAAATTAGTCGAACCATGGGTTGTATGACATACCGGAAGAGCATACCGCCAGCCTCTGCGGTACCTCGCCGGCACGATGCACACGAGTGCTGGGGACAGCGTATGAAGTTAGTCCGGCGTAACTGTGCTGGCGAGAGTCCGTGACATTCAGGATGAAACACTGTCAGTGTCTTAAGAGTCAAGGAAACAATATGAAGTTGGCACTGATGAGAGCGAACCTCGAGGACATGACTGGCATAAAATCAATTCGCCTCCGTCTCGGCAGTAGACACACCAATCTTCCCATTCGTGTTTTCGGGTCTTCTTGGCAGCCGTCTCGCTGGTACTTGATGTAGGCGACTGATGGAAAGCAAACTACATGATGAGGTAGACGACTTGAAGAAAGCTTGCGACTGACCGCTTCGGAAGAGACTTGCGGCGCAATGAATTGCATACTGTCTATCGTCACAATGTTGTCCACGCGAGCGCGCTTCTGTAAGTTGTTCCACTCCTGCGCGATCTCTTTGTTGTTAGCAGGCTTCGTGCGTGGGACATACTGGCCTTCGAACAGTCTACTTTGTACTTGTGCCACGCCGCCCAGCAGAGCCTTCTCTTCTTCCTCGGCTGCGGCAAGGAGCTTGTCGTCCTTGGCCTCCGTGGCCTCTGGTGCTAGTTCGTGTTTCACTTTCGCCTCCTTGCGATCCTCACAGGAGCGAGAGGCATCAAGTATCTTGGAAACTGGGGCGTCCAGGAAAGTTTGCAGATCCATGTCATTTGAGTTTTGGGTAAGCGCGCTGCTTCCTTTCCGGAGAATATCCATCAGCTCTTTCGACTTCAGAGCAGAGCTCTCATCCGCCGACGGGTTGTCCGAGCCCATGACTTTGACAGATAAGAATAGCTTCCGTCTGATGCGATCCAGCATCTGGTCCTCGACGCTTCCTCGGCAGATGAGACGATAAACCTTTAAGGGTTTGGTCGATTTTGGCCTCACGCCGTGTAAGCGCACGTACTTTTACTGTCTTTGTCTGCCCAATGCGATGGGCTCTGGCAATCGCCTGCAGATCATTCTATGATGGGCGGTCAGTCTGCGATGCGGAATGCCAAGAATACTTCGACTTGCCTGGGGATTCCAGTCCGAGTCACACATGATGACAGTGGACGCCTTCGTTAAATTGATGCCTAAAACGCAATTAATTATGCCGTATCAATAGAAGCTGTAGCAGTCGTACCTAGGCCGCCAGCCTTCGTGGATATTAGGAAGACTTGATAAGCTATGGATGCACGCATGATTGAAAAGACATTCCAACAGTCATAGAAGAAACTTTACGTGATTTTTCCTGTTGGAACTGAGGCACGGACAAAGGTCAGTCACAATAAAGATTGGAGGCCTACGTAACCTTACCAGTTTAATGTCGAGCGCTCGCCTCGGCCTCGATGTGCTGCCATCTAATCGAGCGTACGGGATGGATCGCAATTCCATGAAGTCTTCGAGAAGATCTAGCATCCTGCGAGGATGTTAAAAGATACCCAATGAACGACCACAAGTCATTTCCAACTGACCCTGTCCATTGCTAAGGAAAACAGGTTAGCTGTTGCTTCCGAAGTTATCACAAGCTGACGTACCGAGAATATTAAGACCCTTTCACCCTTCGGGAGGATATCGGCTAGTAATTTGTCTATGACAATCATCTTTGAAGAAGCGGCGACAAGGTGCTCCCCGATAACGAAGGGGTCCGGTTCGGCGTCGGGCAAGAGGTAAGGGCTGGACATTGTAAATGAAGGACATAAGCAAGCCTTTCAAGTGTTTAATCACCCTGACTTACTGGTCGCAAACTTGCCGCAGTTGCATGAGGAGGTTCATAAGCCTCTTCCATTCTGTCAAAAGTATCGGCCATTAGAGCAGATGCATTGGATTAAGGGTACCCTACGATTTTGGTTGCCCGTAGAGCTGCTCCGGACTTGTTCTTGCAGATGCGCTAGCACCTCCTGACGTCCCTGATCAAGAGGCCCCTCTGCATGACCTGCGACGTTCCCGGCAATGTCACTCTCAAAAATCTGCTGGAGGTCAACGGCGTCCATCCGTGTCAGCAGTCTATACGTCCAGAACCTCTGCGCCTCCGTCAACGGGAGGAACACGGTGAGCTCTTCTCTCGGAGGGACGCTTATCTCTACGCTCGCTTTGGTCCTACGGATCATTATGGTCGATAGTAGATTCTGCGCAGCAGTGAGGAAAGGGAGGTTGTAAAGGCCCCTGGTTAGATCAAAGGAATCTTTGAAGAGACGCTCCGATGCCGCTGTAAAAAGATTCGGGTATAGCCAATGCAGCAGGGACCACAACTCGAGGAGATTATTGTGGATGGGCGTGCCCGTCAGAACTGAAGGCGGGTGGTCAGATTGCGATAATTGGCAGTACGAGACACACGCACTTAGCCGATACAGTGCGCCGAGACCCTGTAACTTGCTAGCAACGTCAGTTCCAGCATTCTTGATCTTGTGGCCCTCGTCGAGAACGCAATATGTCCACCGTCGGCTCTTGAACCAGCCATCTTCGGCCACATACGAGTCATACGTCGTGACGCAGATATCGAACGTGATGTCACCGGCTCGGACTGCATTCTTGATGCGTGTTCTCTCAGACTGAGGCCCATGGAACCGGAGTACCTTGAAGGACGGCACCCAACGGGCGCATTCCTTATGGTATATCAGGGATTGCGCCTGATACTTCCACATGATGGCAGCTTACCGATTCCCAAGACGAAAGGACTGATAGTGGACAGACGATGACGTGAGGGTCAATTGTGCCTATGAAACACAGTGAGGGGTGTCACCAGAACGAAGGCATACGGATCTACTGACCAACTGAATTTTCTTTGACGTAGGCGAGAAGAGACAGTGTCTGGAGGAGGACGAGTCAGACATTGTTCGATGACGCAGTCTAGACATCTACCTGTAGCGTCTTTCCCAAACCCATCCTATTGAAACTTGTAAGAACCTGGGCCATAACCCTAGCGTACAAGCTTTCGACTCACTCATCACCAAGTATGCAGTTCATACCGTTACGATACATCCAGACTAGGAATGACAAGCCTTGCAGCTTCACGGGACTTAAACATGCACATGAAACGAGCGTCCGATAAACGTACCTGATAATCCTTTAGATTCCCTCCGGTTACCAGTTTCGGCTGCTCGTCCAGCTGATGCAGCGGGACATAGGCGCCCTTGTCACTGGACTCTTTCATCTCCTGTTCTATATGGTCCAAAAGGTTGCTGGATTGTGGAAGGAGGGTCTCGAATAGGCGTCGGTGACGAGCTGTCCAGCGCCTCCGAGCAGCCTCCACGGCAGCTTTCTTCGCATTGACAATAATGGTAACCTGACTCGCCGTTAACGCGGAAAACGAGAGTGAACTCAGCCAAACACGTACAGCTTTCTTCTCCTCTCCTTTCCATCTCTTTGTACTGGCACCGATATCATGGTTTTCGATTGTAGAGTCCGAACCAGTGCGTTTCAGACCCGGCTTTGGCCTGGCAGCAATTGCGGTGTTCGCGGACTGACGCGGCTTGAGCGTCCGACGCTTCAAAGGCATTGGAGAGGGGCTTTTCGCGTCCATAATGTCGAGCTCGTCGTCTGAGACGGTCAGGTCGATTGGATCGGAGGCCGTTAGCATATCACAGTCGCTGTTGACGAGGCAAGCGGGGACCTACAGCCACAATTGAGGGTAGTTTAGGGCAGGCTCTTACGCGTCTCGGACGCGTCGCGTTAATTTCCGACGCGTTGACCGCGTCTAGTTAACGCTCAACGTTCAACCGGGACGCGCGACACCGTTCGCATAATCGCATGCCTTTAACAACTTGCGAATCATTCATCATAAATACTTTAAGTGCTTCGTTGCTTTAACCGCTCTCTAATGTTTCAGTATCAAGCCGTAGCAGGCACCGTTAGTACACAGCGGGCAAGGACCGGTGTCCCGCCACCGGTCATTCATCTTTCACGGCAAGGGTGCGAGAACACTTTCCTAGGATGCTCCATAGCAGAACATGACACAGACATAAAGAATGAAAGGACAATGTTAATTAAATGTCCCCTGATTTTTGGGGACTATAGTAAATGTCCCGCAGACCTTTCTTTGTTCACTCAAAGGACTAGTGATGCCGCAGTCCGGTTCCCGAACCTGGGAGTGTTAGCAGCAGGCAGAACAGGGAAGCATAAGATGGGTGGCCATAAGCACACCAGGCCCAGACACATACACAAACTGAAGGCAAGGTCAATTGCACGGACTGAGGAACAAAGGAAATACAGTGGCTCAGTACATAGTCAAGCTATTTGTACCTATTTGTCCCAGTGGCTCTGCATCCAATACAACCAAAACCTAACAGGGAGAACCGGTTCAAACCTTGGACCGGACCCAGGTTCTGGTCCGCGGTTCGGCTTTGGGGTGGACCGAACCTGAAATGAGGTCCAGGTGGAGCCACAATGCCCGAACCGTACCTAAATATGGTAATTTTGAAGGGTTTGAACCCGAACCTGACTGGACCCAATGCCATTTCGGGTTCTTTGAGGTTCACGGTCTGGACATTTACCCGAACTGGACCTTGGGTCCGGTCCCAGGTCCGGAAATTTGGGCCAATAACCGGACCGAGCTGGACCGCGGCATCACTACAAAGGACATTCTTCATGTCCAGGTTATGGTCCAGCAAGGACCATTCTAGGAAAGTGTTCTCCCATCAGGGAGATGTTCCTGGCATGCCTGCTGGCAGGACATCGGTCTCTGCCCGCAGTGTTATCTGGGCCAGTTCCCTCCTTGCATTCGAGATTCATCCGCAGAAAACTCTGACTAACATTACTCATGGTAGGTCCGACCTCTTCAAAATGTTGGAGATGTGGCTTATCTGAACCCGTCAAACCTCATATATAACATATGCCAGTCATGGTGTCAGACATCGCCATGGTGCACACGCATAGAAGTTGTACTCCCCGGACGTGGAGTATATTCCAGAATATCAATCCCACTGCACATCAAAAAATATTATGTGACTTGTCAGTGAGAACATATCATTTCCAAGAGATCAGTGATTACCTTTATCATACTGAACACAAGTACACCAGGTGCCTTTTCTGGTGGTGCTGGCAAAGCATCTTCCCCGACTTTGCCAACACCTATCCAATACGGCCTTATTTGCTTTGGGGGAGGGGGGGATAAGGCCACCAGCAAGAAAAAGTGGTACAACAAGGAACTTGTCTTACCTTCCAGCCAAGGTGCTCATACCGGTCTCTCTATTTTGGCTATGAACGATCTCTGCGAAGACGTAGTTGTCGTCTGTAGCAAGACAACAAAGGCTCACTCAGCACGTCTTCCGGGACAATGCAAAGATGGTAGATTACCTGTAGCAAGACAACAAAGGCTACAGGATACATGTAAGCAAACGGTAAACAAACGACAGGGTATGGCGCGCATCTCACCTCACTCAGCACGTCTTCCGGGACAATGCAAAGATGAGGTTGGCGTACGAGACGCGCGCGGTACTTGTATGCTATGATACGTCTAGGAACAAAGATAACAATACCGTTGATATGAGTTTATCATAAGTCTAATAAGTGGAAATATCAAATAACGAGCGTTGCTGAGGTGAATCGTATGGAACTGTCAACAAGATACGATAGTCCAGAAAAGGCAAATGTCAGTTGCGAGGAATCCGGGCGCGTTTGTCTCTCCAACACTCTATTTTGGTGTCGACACATCCACAGCCAATATCTCCGAATTGGCCACATGGTGAAAGGTCTCACAGCAGAGCATGGAAGGTAGCCTGTGACTATTAGCATATTGCTTTCTGCAGCGGAGTTCTGATGTAGTCACCTTTATTCTGCTCACCCGGATCTGTGCAAGACATCTGGAGGTACAAACACCTTACATAAGACAGCTTTAAACCCATCTCTTTGTAAGCGCACTCCAATGTCTTCTCAGATAGGAGGGCTGCTCAATTCTTAACAGGGCTGCTCAATTCTTAACAGGGCTGCTCAATTCTTAACAGGGCTGCTCAATTCTTAACAGGGCTGCTCAATTCTTAACAGGGCTGCTCAATTCTCAACTAGCACCCGTTGTTCAAGCCATTGTTCACTCAATCGCACCCAAAAGAGTGAGGAAGAAGTAATGGCAGATGATTCGAGACCCTGCTCATTTGATTTTTCTCTGCCAGCTGGCCATCGGTGCGGCTCAGCGATCTCTTCTTTCTCATCATTTTTAGCACGACAGATTGAACGAATGAACGAACAACAGGAGGCAGTTACAATTCTGAAAAATCAAATGAGCAGGGTCTCAAATCATCTGCCATTACTTCTTCCTCACTCTTTTGGGTGTGATTGAACAAACAATGGCTTGAACAACAGGTGCTAGTTGAGAATTGAGCAGCCCTATAGACGAGTATCTGAACTTGAACCCGAGCTGCTGAACAAGCCTCGATCACCGCCACACCGCCAAAGGAGAACAGTGGCACCTACCATCAGTCTGGTCCAGCCCCAGACCTTCACCGGTGAGAATACTTTGCCACATAGAGCACCATACAGGTCAGCAAGTGACAATCGTTTACCTGGTCTCAGCCAATTGTTGATAGCGACGATTCTGTCGCCGCTAGGTCCCGGAGCAGTTATGACCGTTATCCTGGCCTCGGATACGAAGGACCACTTCATCAAGAACCTGAGAAAAATCTCGAAGTTTCTGCATTCCTGGGTTTCTACCTCATTCGAGAGAGGCTATCAGTCTAAATGCAACCGGCACACGGACATTTGGGTCGTACTTCTGCTAGGTTTCCGGAGTAGTTGAACTCTGGGTCATGAGTTGCAGTGTCACCAACTCGGTACGAAGGATAACCGGGACCGGATGCTTACCTGATATGTTATTTCCTTTTCTATATGTCTTACCCGCTATGGTACTCTGCAACTATACAGCTATGTAAGGTTTGCTTCCGTGTGTGGCTTACTACAAAAACCCGTAGACAGCTGTCGTGTACCTCAGTGATTTCCCTACGGAATCCTGAGGTGAGATCTGTTCTCTGTGTATATTTTCGTGCCATTGCTGATCATGTACCCGTAGCTAATCTGCTACTTTAGGTACATACAAATAGAGTGATTTCCCTACGGAATTCTGCTACTTTAGCTTTATTTAATTAATATGCAGGATAACCAAAGCCTCTAGGTCTTCCGGTAGCGACACAAGTTGAAGGTACTAGCCAATTCCAAGATGTGGGCCCATGAGACGAACACCAACATAGCCGGCTACCCGTGCATCTCCGCGATTCTCTACACTCTTCCTCCCGAGATATTTTGTTCAAAGGAGGCCTATAAATTTACCGCTTGTTTGAACCAGGTTTTCCTTCAAAACAAGAGCTGGTGGGCTAGTATTCCTTCCTGCACGAGTTGCATGCATCGATTCAATTGGCATGTTGCGCATATACTAACAGCATCAGTGTGAGTCCCACCGTTATTATTTCTCGACAAAGGGAACATGACGTGCATACTATCATTGGGGGGGTTCTGTAAAAACTTGACAATATGACCGGCCAAGGGCTACCTTCTTCATCATTCCCTGTAATTTCACTCATCATAGTATACCTTCCTTAGTACCATCTGCAAAAAGAATGATCTCGATTCACTATGTACAGAGTAATACAGAGAGATGCCGCAACCAGACGGCACTTGCGGGGAGTAATGTAAAAATGTCACGCGCGGGTAACACTATCCGATCCGCGCGCGTCTGTCACGCATCTGTCACGCCCTTGGGCCCTTGGAGTTCTGTAAAATCTACCATACGAGCACTTCACAAGCCTGCAGCTATTATCGGGTGGGCGCAGGAGGTTTACACATACAAGAAACACCTCCTCTAGGCAAG